GCAATTCGATTTCAGTCACAGTCTCAACTCCAAAGTTTATTCAATTTTTTTATTTGTATTTTTAAATGTCTTGAACTTCCTCCTTGTCAGGGTTGAAACCTTAAAGAGATCGGAAACAGATATTCAATTTTAAAAGATCACCACAACAATTGCATTGAGAGTTTAAACTACAAACCTTACATACATGAGATCTAATACTTGAAATTTTTGTTGAGAACGCAAATTAAATGTTTTATGCTAATTCTGGTTTGCACGCTTTCCTTTTGGTCCCTTTGAATAAAACTCATATGCAAGAATCGCTTGCTTCGAGTTTTATCCTTGAGTGGCAAGAAATATTGGGACTGGAAAAGCTTACCTCAAAATCAAAGTGCATTTTTTTAGAGGAGAGCAATTCGATAATAGAACTGCATATCAAAATGTTTTCTACACAGGTAGAAATTGGAATCAAGCGCATGTCAAACATTCTCACGAGGGTGATACATGTACTGGGTGAACCTATTGTTTTTATGAACAATGGGAGCGAACCTACTTCTAGTGTAATTTTGCCAACTTCTCTTACCAAAAGCCTCTGTGGTCTAGCGGTAGTGCACATTTAACAATTAAAATTAAACGGCGGCTGGATTCCCCCCAGCCGTCGTTTAATTTAATTGTTAAAGCACATCGGAGGGGCTCAGGCCCCGCTGATCCGATTTCCTTTTAATCTTTAAAGAAAAATTTCAGTTGTTTTAAGATCTCCGATAATTTTTTCTAAGGATTTTCTGTTTTGAGAGAAAAAATTCCCGGAAAAACTTCTCGGAGATCTCAAAATTAGACAGATTCTGATTTAGAGAGTAAAATAAAATTTACGTCTGAAAATAAAAAATGATGGTGAATGGCCGTCGTGCCATGCCCTGAAGACATGCGCAAACCACGGAAACACAAAGCCAAACAATTAACAAACGTAAATGGGAATTCCACAACAAGAACTGGAGAGGAGGTTTGTAATATATCTGGTAAAAAGTGCACCGTAAAAACATCATTTGTAAACTTAGAAAATATGAAACAAACCTATAATCCTAAGTAATGTTGGCACCTTAAAAACAATAATGGAAATGATGTTCGCAAAAATAAAAAAATTGTAACTCCAAACATTTGCTTCTCCCTACTAAATGCAGTCACAACTTTTGATTCGTAGTTTTCAGGGTTAACAAGTTTTAAAATGAACAATGCCAAATTACTCGCGAAAAAACTCGGTTTAGTTCAAAAGTACATTTCACATCAGAGCGTAAATGAGAATATTCAGGAATTTTAATTATTTCTGTTTTGTATTTAATTTTCACTTGTATAGAATTTTACAGCAATGGCATTGATTTACAAGTGTCCCTTTTTTAATTCACCACGAAAAAAAAACTCGAAAAATAAATCGTTTGAGTTGTATGACTGTTTTGTCCTTCGCAAAGTTTGCCGTTCAAAAATATTATTGGTAATAATTCTTGTTTTGCATCAATTTTTTTTTTACTTGAAACGAATATTGAATTTTTCTGAAACGTTTGTGACTTACAATTGCTCTCTTTTCTCTACCATTTTCATTGAAATATGTCCTTGGTGAGTTCTAATAGCAAAGTTGAGAAATCTCCTTGACGTTACAAAAGATTGGGTTATTTCAAGTATTATTAGAGAATATGTCCACCTTTCATGCGAAAGATTTCTCTTATAAAGAAAAATCACTCCTTTCACCCGACAAGTTTGATTTAAAAGTAGAAATCTTCCCTTTTGCTCTCACAATTTGAAACAACATGAGGTGGTCATCAATTCCTATTTTTGCTGATATATACTTCCGTATACATATCCTCATCTGACTCGAAAGGCCTTTTCATGAAAAGTTTGAAGATAAATTATACGCACACATGACATGTAAAGAAACCTACTGAGTTAATAGGTAAAATTTCACAGCGATATTTGACAACCTTGTTCGTCTATAGATGACTCTCCAAGCGTTCTGTCTAGTATGTTTTTTTCACCATAATTGAAAAGCAAATTTAACTAATATTTTGGGCTTTGTCTAGGATGAGAATGGTTCCAAAAATTTTCCCCCCAGGGACGCTAAATATAAAGATTTTAGACCTATTTTGTTATGTGACAAAAAGATAGCAGTCGTACAATAGCAAACCTTAAGGCTTGCTTCTCAATCGAAAAATTTGTGGAAATTTAAGTTTTCTTGATCGTCACGAAAAGTAAACAAAGAAGAGAAAATCATTTTGTTCTAAGAACTACTGAAAACTCATCAGCTATCCAGCAGATTCCTTTCTCTCAGTCAAAGCGTTCACACTCAATACTACAAGGATATAGAGCTTTTTCGAAACTTTGTTTTCGGCGATGTATCTATTACGTAAATAAAAATAGATGCTTCACAGTAAAACTGAAAATTTAAAGAAATTACGATACAACTTGTCCATTTAATCTCCAAAAACTTTTTTCAGCAAAAATTTTTCGTTTCTAAGATATCTAACGGGGTATGTTTGATTTTTTTTTTGTAATTTTTCAAAGCGATATAATTGTTGACTTGAAGGATAAAAAAAATATGAAATATACACACAGACACTCGCCTTTCGCGATCTTGAACGATCCTTTTGCTAGGTTTAAAGAGAATATGATTTCATTTCAAATTACATAAGTTGTCTTCATTGTTTGATTTATTGAAAACAAAAATCTAACAACTTACCAGGCGTAGGAGCTCATTCCGTATCGAAATTTCGCTTATGTTTGGTTCTACCACATAATTTGACTTACACCCGCGCAATAACAACTATCGCAAATTTCGGTTGAGAAATCTCCCTTCTGAACTCAAAACCTGTTTATCTAGTTTTACGAAATTTCCCACCGTCATTTGCTAGAATTTTTTTATTCTTTCGGCATTAAAGTTTATTTTTTGAGTTCAAAGATAAATTTCAGGTCACATTGTAGTTGAAATAATTTTTAATTTAAATTATTTCTGTTTAGTACTTAATTTTCACTTGCATATAATTTTCCAGCAACACCTTTGAAATACAATTGTCTCTGTAAATAAAAGCGTTCCATTTCTATTTAAAAAAAAATATTCAACCTTAAATTGTTATTTACGAGTTTCACTTTCACTAGGCATTAATTCACCTTGAAAACTCATTTTGGAAAAGAAAATGAATCGTTTGTGGTGTTTGGTGTTCGAAAAAACGATGAGCAATATTTTGTTTTGCATCAATTTTTTTCACTTGAAAAGACTGGAATTTTTTCACAAACGTTCGTAGCTAACAATTGCCCCATTTTCTCATAGAACGTACCATTTTTCATCAAAACGTTTCCATGGTGAGTAGTGATAACAAAATTAATAACTTTACTTCAGGATACCAAAACTTGGGTTATTTTAAGCATTATTATCGCATAAAAAAACCTATCACCCTATCTTTTTGCTATCACAACACTATTTTCTGCTTTTGTTGATTTGTACTACCATGTGAAACATACTGTAATCTCTCATGAAAAACTTCATGGAAAGGTTAAAGAATCATTCTAAGCGCACATGACTGTTAGGAAATCTATTGAGTCAATTGGTGAAAATTCATGAGATGGTTCATAACCTTGCCGTCTATAGACGACTCTCCAAACGTTCTTTTGTTTGTTTGTTTGTTTGTCTGTCATTCCTTTCTGTACCATGCTTGCAAAAGCAACTTAAGCTGATATTTTGGGCTTTTTTAGGAAGAAAATGGTTCCAAACGTTCCACCCTTAAGAGACACTCAATAAATAGATTTTAGGCCTATTGTAGTTTGTAAAAAAGAGAGCAGCAACCCTTGAGGGACGCTTAATCGAGAGAGTAATGGGACATACTTGTTTTCTATCGAAATTTTTCTTGCTCCTCTCGTGAAGTAAACTAAAAAGGCAAACTCGAGTACTGAAAGTCATCAGATATGCAACAATTCCTTTCCTTCACTTAAAGCATTTATTTTCAATATGACGAGTTGTCAAAAGTTTTTTTACACTTTGTTTTGACGATGTATCTGTTACTTGAAAAGATAGACACCTCACAGTGAACCTGAAAGTTTACAGATATTGTAATTTGTGCAATTAATCTTCAAAAACTAATTACGGCACGAAAGTAGATTCTTTGTTTACAGAATATATTCGAGAAGGTACTATTTTCATTGAAAGATCTCCTTGGTGAGTTCCAATACCAAAGTTGAGAAATCTCCTTCTTGCTACAAAACCCTGTTTTTTAAGTATCATTAAAGAATATATAATATAAAAGTATAAAAGAAATTGCAGTTTTACTAATTATCTCCAAAAGCTATTTATGGTTGAATGGAAAATTCATTGTTTCTACGATATTCCTTTTGATCTAAAAGTCTAGTCTGCTCGTCTAGTTTTATGAAATTTCCGTCTCTTTCATTTTGCAAAGTATCTTTTGATTCCATCGGCGCTGCAGTAAATTCCTTTGAAAAGTTTCTTAACACAAGAAAATCGACATTATGATAGCTTTGATTTTTTTTTGTAAAAAAAAAAAATAGATGCCTCATGGTGAAACTGAAAATTTAAAGAAATAGTATTTTTTTCCAAATGATCTCCAAAAAATTTTATGGTTCAAAAAACAATAAATTCTTTGTTACCGAGGAAGTGATGAACGCATGGGAAAATTCAATTCCAAAAAGCTTAAAAGATGCTGCAAGTTTAGCGTAACAATTCTCAAAGGTAAAGCGTTTTTGTTAATACAATGAAATAAACCTGTTAAAACTGCTGGCTTCTCTTGATACTAATAATCAAAACAATTGGAACAAAATATGCGCAGTGTTTTCTTTATTTAGAGAATTTACAACAGAATTCAAAAGCACCTAAGCAATTATACTAAAGCAATTATTCAGCGAAGGCGAAGTGAATATTGTTCAATAATCCCATGGTAGCATTCGTTGTAAATTTGGCCACGTTCTCCAAGTTACATTATAATGGATTTCTTTGAGGTACTAACCAATAACAAATTGAACAACTTACGTGTAGGTGAGGTCGTTTCTTTTTCCCAGTTTGCAGTCCTCTTTTCCAAGAACACTTTTCCATTTCCGTGGTTCTGTTCTGCAATCCAATAAATACATTGATAATTGACATGACAAGCCAAATAAACCAACAAATCTGACACAAATAAGACAAAAAAAGAGAAAAAAGCCGCCAATTATTTGTCTATCTATTATTTGCACTGCTGGTTTTGTTGGGTCTTAATAGTCGCGATTTTATCTGGCGTCGGCTAGAAGAATAATTCGAGAAGTAATTTGTTGGAACAGGTCTGACGACAGTTCTTTTTCAGAACTACCCTTGCCCGACCATCACACTAAAATTTCTCGAAAAAAGTAAATTGTTTAGGTCGAGACGGAGTTAAGGGGCTCTTCAATGTTAACCTAAGTTGAAGCTACCCTCAAAACTTAGCAACTTATCAGTCACAATTCATTAAAAAATGAATTGAATTTGTTTTACGACATTATTTAGTTCCAAAGACTCAAAAATCATCCGAGCGTTTCAGATTCTACAAGAAAAATAGTATTTCGTGTGCAGCGTGCCCAAAGTTCCCCTTTTTCCATTAAATGAGTCCCTTTGGCGTTTGAACCACGTCTCCACAAAAGTTATCACATGTCTAAAGCCGATTCTTTCGGAGTGGTTTAGGAATTAACCATAAAATCCCTCTCTTTTTACATTTTTGGTTTTCCTTCTCCAAACTTTGAATTCACATTTAAACTGAGTTTCCCACGAGTCCAGTTTCTTAGTGGCAAAATCATGTAAATTTAAAGCTGAGAGTAATACGGTTCAAAAGTTAAGCAACAGCAAACAAGAGGTAAGAGAACGAAAATAAAAACACTGCCATATCAACGAAACAGTTTGGAGTAGTTCAAACAATGGCAGCCTACGACGAGTGTTCTGGCGCCCTCCTCACCTATACTTAATTGTCACGATTTGCTTTGAAATGCCATTAATGCAATACAATAAAGAACTTACGTTAAGTTTCGTTCTTTTACATCACCCCGTGCATTCCACATTCCAGCTTTCCAATCTTCTTTTTCAATCTTAATTTTTATTTCCTTCTCACGACTCTGTAAATCCGATGAGTACACTGATTAAATAAAATGTCGCACACCATTTAATGACCGTCCATGCTAAGAATGGCCGAAGGGAAAGGACTCTTAGAAAAGATGCAGAGTGATCCAGCTTAATTTTCTTTCTCAAAGAGGCATTTATCGGTAGATTTTAAGCATTCATCAGTAAGTTTTATTACTCATCTCCACCTCTTTTTTTCTTTTTTCCTTACTTTTTGCTTAAGGTAAGCAGTTTACGTGGTTAGTACGAAGGCTGGCATCTCGCTTTTCACGAATTCTAGGTACAAAATATACACCAAATATACATCGCACAAAAGTTTACGTCTAAAAAGCATGATCCATGAACAATGAGAACCAACGGCTTAATGGAAAATGTTTGCACAGTTACATATGGATGGCTTCTATCATTTACCACGTTCTAACAATTGAAGTCGTCATAGCCGTTGGGTCTCGTCGTTCATTACTTACGCCACTTAGGGTCAAGTTTTTGTAATCGAGAGTATATTGAAGTTCATGTTTGACTTACCAATCAACAACAAGTTCGCAGTCCATAGGATTCCTGCATCTTGTATCATCGTAGTCCTTGAGAAAAGACACGAACCAAAACAAAAATATTCAGAATAGGGAATAAGACGCCAAAATCATTTTCCTTATTATGTTTTCATTTATATTACACTTTGAAACTAGGAGTACCGAAGCACTTACCATAAATCTGAGAAGAAAAAACTGTAGTAGTCCTGATACTTACTAGTATTCAGTAAGGTAACTCGATAAACCCAGAGCACAGAGTCTCAAGGTACCGCTTAACTATGAAAAAGAGGACAAATTCAACTTAAAGACGAGATAAAATTTTGTTGAAGAAGTTCTCTCTGGCAACTTTTAAAAAGATGTGATAGAGTCGACATTTAAGACGAAGTTATAAGAAAGGTCGAAGTACAAGAATTAAACGCAACGACATAAGCAAATAACCTATCAAAGTTCTGCATATGATTCATTCTCTCACCTCGTGTAAAGTTACTGGTATTCTGCAAAAGTATACTAATATTTCCATATTTGGCTGCTGATCGTGGGAAAAGGAAACAGTCGTCTTAAAAATACTCTTAGAAACAGTTACGAGCGCAGAAACCGGCAGAATATGTCAAGTTTCTGTTCGAAGAAGCAAAACACGATGACTTCTTGAACCACATGTCACACTGACCCAAGGTGTGAGACAAACATGAATGAATAATTAATTTTTGAGACAATTTTGTCGTGCCCTTTGCTTTCTGCATAAATTGATCACAAAAAATTCAGAGAATTTCATATTTGCCCCAATAGTTCTTTGTTAGGATTACATCTGAAATAAAAAAAAACCTCATAATTCATCTATAAACTTATTTCAGTTTTCCGATTAAATTTAAGTCCACAAATATAATTTACGGCCAGACGGCTCTTTCCGGACCAGCTTTAGTTAACCTCTCCGTCAAACCCTCAGCCCTACACATGTCAGCTTTCATTATGATTTTCTACAAGATCGGGTTGGTGAGGCCATGCAGGTCATATCATTATGGCCGAGCGAGAAAATTTTCTAGTCCGGTCCTCCCACTCAGTCAATATGTACATAGGGTCTTAGGGTAATTCAGTATTAACAACTGAGTTGACAACGTAAATTGGCCACCGTAACTGAAGAGTTTGGAAACTGACGTTTCGAGCGTTAGCCCTTCGCCAGAGCGATTGGTTGCAAAAGAAGTATGTACGATAAGTAGATGGTTGATGTTACGCTCCTGTTCGCCCCACTGCGTACCTCCCTTGTACAGACATCTTTTTTTTTTTCAGCAGAAGCGCGCACGGGGCCGCTCAGGTCATAATTACGATAATTCGGATAATCACCCAGGGAAAAGCGATTGAGATATAATACCAAACTATGCGAATTTTGGGAGAAAAAGCACATTTCAAGGAACGACGTTTCGGCCTCTCCAAAGCCATTTTCAGGTTTTTGCAAAATACAAAAATTTAGCACATAAATATAATGGTTAAATACAATAAATCTTATAACAAAACATGAAATTATTTTCAACTTAAATATTTCAATTGTTGTAATTGTGCAATTTTAACATGACATAACCCTTGTTACATTCTTTTCCGGTTTTTTATAAATATTATATTTATATGCTAATTTTTCTTAATTCTAGATTCTACTAGAACTTGAAAATGACCTCCAAGAGGTCGAAACGTCGTTCCCTAACATCGCCAATCTTTATTATAAAGTCTATATCAAAGAAATTTGAAGGCTCAATCAAGCAGCTTTGTTGCGTAAAATTCGTCAGTGAAACACAAGATTAATCAGCCTTTATTCATTTCCTCCTACTATGACGACAGATTACATTTCGCAAACTGATTGTTTTAAGTCAAACACTGAAAATGTATTATAACCGTATCGATCTCTGAAAAAATGATGACTCATCCCACTGTCGCCGATTTGCAAAAATTTGGATTGCTGACTAGTCATCGGACTTGAAGCTGAAAAGATTATTTACCTCACTAATCGAAACTGAAATTTATAATTTTTTTCTCAATATTGTATTGAGGTAAAACAATTATAAATTTGGGTCAGAAATGTCAGAAATGACAGACAAGCTAGTTGAGTTACGTAGATGCTGAACGAAGATAAGTTTTCATCAAAAGAGCCGACCTTTTTGAGTGGCAGCTAAATACTAATTTATATTATTCATCGTTTTATTTTGCAGAGGAGGCGGTCAATTTTTATGATAATTTCTCAGTTATTTCGTACCGAGCGAGAAGAATTTCTTTCATAAGTATTTACTGCCAAAAATTACAACTTAAAACTAATGGAGGAATCAACCTTGAACTGCATAAATTCGACGACTTTTTCACCAACTCCTCGGGAAGAGGAGTGCTTTTCCAGAGATCCGATGCCATTGAAAATCATCCGAATTTGTGCTTATTGCATTGTGATCTTCGTCTCTTTAGTTGGTAATCTCTTGATAATTGCGGTGACGAGGAGAACAAAAATGACAAGTAGAAAATCTATCCATTATCTGATTGTGAACATGGCCATGGCAGACATATTTCTAACAGTGTACATGCCTCGGATGATAGCTCTGGCTTATGTGGGTTACGAATGGCAGATTGACAACCTGCCAGGCGAGATATTCTGCAAAATTTCAACACTGCTTAGTCACGCTTGCATGACTGCATCGATTCTCACTGTTGTGGCAATCAGTTTTGATCGGTTTTTAGCTGTTATTTTCCCATTACGATCGTCGCTCCTCACAATTCCAAGAACCAAGATGATCATAATTTTCATATGGCTCACGGCTATTGCATTTCGAGTACCCATGGCATATTCAGCAAGCCTACACAACTTGAACGGAAAACCCCATTGTGTCATTGTCCTGGATGAGACATTCGGTGATGGAACCAAAAAAGTCTACTACTTTCTAAATCTCTTCAGCCTTTTTGTGATACCATTCTTTATCATTTTGATTTTATACACTGCCATTTTGGTAACTCTAAAGAAACGTAAACCACCACAAGTTGACACTACTCTGAATATAAACCCATGGCAACAGCGTAAAGAGGAAACTACAAGAAGAGTCCTACAACTGGCAACAGCTGTTGTGATGGCATTTATAATTTGCTGGTTTTTGTACTTCATTCGTCTTATCTTGTTCTCCTACAACGTCGATGTTTCATGCCATATTTTATTTTTGCGCCTTTTTCTCGCCCACTCTAACAGCGCCATCAATCCATGTCTTTACGTGGTATTCAGTGAGAGCTATCGACACGGAGTCAAAAATATCATCTCGCAGTATTTTCCAAAAGTTTGTTGGACAGAAAATTATGTTTTACCATCGTCCGCAGCAGTTGCAAACTCTAGAGCTACATATCAAGAAAAAGCCGACGGAAAATTTCCCCATCAACGAAATTGTAAAGGAGACAGTGCCATGATCGCAGAAAGGGCAATGGAGAATTCCATTTCTGATGAAGACGCAGTGTAAAAAAACGCGATCGACGCCTGGCGCGGGAAAACGCGAGTAACCAGGTCATGACCGGTTTTCATCTTTCATCAAAACTTTGGCTCAACATATAAACGAGATAACCTCCGACAAGAAGGGAAGTTTGTCTATTGTGCATTATTCCTCTGTCTTTCATTAAAATTACCTGACAGTTCCTTGTTACTAGTTCATTCCCCTTATTGGAAAGAAGAACTGTTAGAATGAAATGTCTTGCCTAACAATGCCGACTCTCACCCGTGGCTGATTGTGAGCTGTGATTAGCTCGAAAGGAAACTTACGCTTTCAAATCAACTAATCAGACGTAAGGTTCACGCGAATGCTGACTTGGTCATGTGCCCCATTGGCCTTATGTATATCTTTGTTGTCTGCATGAATGGCTACCAATAGCAGTTAATTTTATGAATTGTTACAAATAGCAGTTCATTTTACGATCCTCAATCAGTCATAACTGCTTAATTGCAATGCGTTGTATATGCATCTCAATAGTGACCATAGGAATTTGTTGTTGCATAAAACTAGTCACTAAGCAGAGCGGGAAATGTTTTTCTGATCAGGTAGATAGGAAAAGGATACAAACGTAATTCCCCTAGATATCATTAAGCAATAGTTGCATAAAATAAACTTTGATGCGGTCATTTCATTGATAATTCGTGTCTAAACTTGAACCAATGACGTCGATTATTCGGAGCGTCTTTAAAAAAATTGAAGTCACAGTTGGAAGTTACTGTTTTATTTTTATTGGTGAGAATTCAGTTTATCTTCGAGCTTAAAAAGAAAAGTCTATCCTTTCAACTAATGAATATTGAAAGCTTCCGAAAGGGTTTAATTTGCGTTTGAGCAGACATATTAACGGTTTTCTTAAGCTTGAACCGAAGAAAAATCATGTTTTAACAGCTTGGCATGTTTTTATTTATTTATTTAGCTTGGGCTCTTCGCAATGAGCCTGCCAATACAACAATATAAACATTAATGCCAAGGTTGTTGAGAGCCGCTGTTTACTTTATTTCGAGCGTTCGACACTCAAAGACGATTTCAGCTGCTTTATGACTTGTATCAATGAATTGACCTACAAGAGTGACTAAAATCTAATTTCTCCTTACAATATCCCCCCTGAATCACACATCAAAGTTACGAGAGTACAGAAAACGATCATCATCTAAAAGAGCTCTTGATTGTTAGACAAATTCTCCTGGTCAGCACTTCAGGAAATTTACGAGGAACAGTATGGAGAATATGCATACTGATTTTCAGAGATAAAGCCGACACATATTGAACATTCCCCCGGAACTACTCGGTTTTTTCGGTATGTCGGTCATGTATTAGATATCTTTATGAGATTTGGGTATTTGTAAGTATTTGCAACAAAAGATTTCCTTCCCCTTCGGTCACGAATTCAGCGGGTAGTTTCTCCAGGAGAAACAGATTGATGTTTTGCTCACTTAGATATATTCAACGTAAAGAAGGGCTGAGCGAAAGAACAAAATCAAAGCCAGGAAAAATGTTGAACAAAAACCCCAGGACAAGGTCGAATTAAAGTCGTCACACTGTTGTTTTACCATCGAGGCTCGTATTCATCGCCAATTTGAGCTTTTTGTCAACATCTTGTCAAACTCAGATACTTTTCTTCAATTTTAGGCCTTGTGCCAAACAGCGGGCGCTAATCAGTTCTTTCGTAATTCAAATACTGAAAGGGAAGATGTAATTTTTTTCGTTTCGAACCGTTTGTTGATGGGCACGCTTACGCTTTCTTTTTGTCCGCATTTTCAACTTTGTTCATCGTCATTTTGTTGAGTTTTCCACAGATTCATTGTGCTTGTCGGAAACACCTTTTTCGAGGAATTCTCCTCGCTGAGAATACCACTACAAAGCGCGCAGCGAACCAGAATGCGTTTCAATCCCGTACGGAAGTTCTCGTTTAAAGCGAAGCACAAACATGGATTCACTGCACTGTTTAGATCAGCCAAAAACAATCTGAAAAATAAAACTTCACAGCCCACTTGTATTTTGTACGAAAATAAAATGAGTTGGACAAAGTAGAGCAACCAGCAGAGCACAAATGCAGCCACCACTATCAACACCATTCGAAGAACTTTCTTCTTTATCCGTGTGTCTCTTGTATGCTCTCTTCCTGCGATTTCTTCTCCGGGTGCTTTTCGTAGTTTCAGGGAAATTAAAATGGCCGAATACAGCACAACTATCACTGCTAAAGGCACAGCAAAGAGGCCAATGAGGGTAAAATTGTAATAGGTCCTTTCGGCTCCTTGGTAGAACACATCGTCTAATGACAGATGACAACTCGTTTCGCCATTGTTGGTGTTAATAAGTTTCAGGCCATACAACATCGGCAAACGAATAACGACGGATGAGAACCATATCATTGTAATAATGATTCGACAAATTTTCTTCGTAATAATGGTCCTCAACGGCAATATCACAGCGAAAAATCGATCAAAGCTGATGGCTACCACAGTGAATATGGAAACGCAAATGGCAGTTTGATGCATGAAAACAGCGAACTTACATACCACAAGTCCCAATGTACCGTATAGCTGCCATTTATAGCCATCATGCCACACAGACAGCGAGCGAGGCATGTACAATGTTATTAAAAGGTCTGCAGTACACATGTTGACCATGAAAAAGTTAACCGTTTTCCTCAGGCGCTGTTCTTTCCATACCGCGGCAATGATCGCAGAATTTCCAAGAAGAGATACTACAAGCAGCAAGCAATAAGGAACGATCCTGGCCATTTTAACAGCTGTTAAATCATTCTCAAAGCAGTCCTCGTTTTGGGCGCTTTCGTTCTTGGGGGTATAATTGAAGGTTTCGTTGGCCAACGACATCGCCAGGCTGGGAAAATTAAAATTAGTGAATTCCTTGCCGCACTACTGAGCTGTTGGGAAAGATCTTACAGGTGATTAACATTTAAAGAGTCCTTTATTTCTTGGTCATAATACTCACGAAAGATATTTTCCACTAAAATTCCGGTTTAGGGAAAAATCCTTCCGAATGAAAATGTAAAGTGATCTTTTTCTCAATTTGTTATGAATTTAAATAATAATAGAACGATGTTTTTTTTTTTTGACACATAAAACCGCCCAGGTTGAATTAAGAACTTCAAATACACCTGCAAGACTTCCAAAGAGTATAGGATCTACCCTCGCTCAGCAGAAAATCTTAATAACAGAGTCCTTAACTTACCAATAAGCAGTTTAAAGAAAAATGCAATTAGTTTTGCTCCGATGTAATTGCTGAATGTACGTTTTAGCTAAGGCGAAAACCTTCATTTAATCTTAACAAATACTGATCATGTTACGACGTCCATAAACAAACAGGTACGAGTGGGTATTTTGTAAATGCACCTTGTGTTAAGTTTGTCATCCAACGAACCAATAGTTCGCCAAGATAGTGAAGCACAATTCAAAATGAATACAAACAGTGTCATGAAATAAAGGGAGCCGCTGATATTCGGTGCCTTAGTCTGAACTAATTATGTACTTTTAGTGGGAGCGGAGGGGAATTTTGAATGCTTAGAAATGGTATTGACTAGTATTTTCAAGCATTCAAAAAAATCCCAGTCACTGAAACAGCGTAAATTTTTGTTGCGGCAATAATTTTTGGACTTTTGTTCAATAGAGCATTAGCACATAAATTATCGGAATACCACTCTATGATATCGTTTCTAAGGATTTTCATTTGTGAGGTTATTCGATTCGAAGTAAATATTTGTACATAGTGGAATTTTGCACAAGGTTTTGACATTAAATAACATCAAGTTTGGAACCCGTCAGAAACACCAAAACTGTCGGCTTGAATTTTTTTCATCGTTGCACCTGTGAAAACAACGACAGTCTAAGTGTAAGACTTTGTTTAATCAAATTCAAAGCGTCAATAACCAACTTTCAGCCTGTACGAAAATCGACTCAAATACATCTACTGATGTATACAAAATGGAACGCTTTCTTGGTAGGAGTAACACGATGACCTTCGCTGCTAAGAGGAAAAGAGAACTCAACTTAAGACCACTTTATCTTTGAAATTATAACCCCCTGTTGAATAATGAGTTTAATCTCATCTGAAAAAAATGAACGCTCAATTTTCATATCGCATAATTCTTCGCTAGAAAAAAAAAATTCCCCTCTGTTTAAACAGGTTATAGTTCCATAAATAGATGTTTTTACAGTTGCTTTGTGTTTTGCCAAGTTTTCACGAGTTGTCTAAGCACCTTAACACCTCTAAGAGAACAACGGACGTATGTTTTGAGTTATTTTACCTTTAAAAACATTCCGTTTTTTTTTTACAAGGGCTCTACATATGCGTTAGAAAAAAACGCGAGGGTCAAAAAGGTATAATACTTGGTAATAGACGTTAGACACAAAATGGTGACAACGATTTTTTACATTTAATAATCGTTTCACAGTTAGGTATTTACGTCTAGAAAGGGAAATACTATTGACGAAATAAAAGCCAGCAAAAAAGAGGATTATGCGCAGACAATTCTTCGTGAAAATAACTTATATCAACAAGATACCTAAGCGCAAAATTAAAAAAAAGTGTTTGACGAATGCGTAAAATTGTCGGATATGCACATCTATTTACATTAGGTCAGTTACAACTACAAGGCCATACCAAGACTCTAAAAAGTCCTCCCTGCTTTAACTCGTTCTCGGTGGGTTGCATCACAAGTTTTGTATAAGATTAAGTTATTTAAAAACTCCTTGCTTGACCGGTCAAGATTTTGTTGACTTACAGGTATAAAGCTAGATTTTATGAAAGTGGCGGAGATGAACTGCACATAAGTACAAGAACTTGTGGATGGTCCTCATGAAAAGAATTGCAAAAATTTTAAAAAATTCTGCACGATGTAATTCCTTTTTCACAAGATCGGATTTTAGGAACATTTTAAGACAAAAATAACACTAAAATCCAAATAGAGAAAAATAATTTCTTATTTCAACTTTTTAAAAAAAGTACTTGAGACTTTTCTCTTCCGAAGAATGATCGTAAATACTCACTGGCATCGCTTTAAAAGAACGCTTTCTATCGCTGACTTAAGTTCGCTACATAAATCTCTCGACAGCTTTCAAAAATTCAACGAGATTACTCATGGTTCCTTCGTCAGACGAAACTGCACTCTCGCAGGCAGTTCGAGCTTTGATCCCAAAATCTCTTGCCTGCAACGAAAATAACAAACGCTTCAGCGCGTAAAAGAACAGTCTACCGAACGATGGAAACTAAGACATTTAGTTTGGAAACTTTTAACCCTCTCAGATTGAAAACTGATTATGAATAGGGAGGGAAGTGATTCGTCGTGTCAGTAAGAAATACATTAATTGTATCGAGTTTACTATGAGGACAAAATCAGACGGTATTTAACGAGGTCCGCTCGTTTCTCACGGTGTCGCCGTTCGAGCCGCAGCCTACGGCCTGCTCGCGGACTATCTTTCAGACTTTATGCACAAATCAAGTTTGTGCATGCACACGACAATTAACCACAGTCGTACGATTTAAGTTATACGGACTTACTTTTGGCATATCTCCCAAAATAAACTGTAACATGGCTGTGGTGAAATATATTTTACACATGACTGCAGGAGTTTGCACTGTCTGCTGCTCTCGCAGGTCCAATATGGCATTTACCACCTGGATAGCCTCTGCTTCTTGAGCCTCGTCTGAAAAAACGAAACATCTAAAGTTCACCTTTAATTTACCTTGCTTATAGATTTTACACAAGGAAGTCCTGACACGAGTCTCTGATAGCCTGCTAGTTGCGCAACCTTTAACTATTTGAAATCCAGCTGTAGCTAATGTTATTTTTCAAAACTTCTAGACACAAAAAGGGTAAATTACACAAACATAAGCCCCACCAGAGAGGCTCACTCAGACAAAAACAATTGCAATAAAAGACGCAGGTGATTGTTTCGAAGAGGTTTGGAATGGAGTTCTATGAAATGAGTGACAAAGCCTTGAGAGCCAATTGTTCAGGAGCTCGTTTCCTTCATTCCTATTTAACGCCCTCGAAGCCGGCACGAAAAGCAAAATTTTCTCAGCTAGCGTCAAAAACATTCGAACTAAGAAAAAATACTTCCAGTGAGACCCTCAGTAACATATTTTATCACAATTATTGTCACTTTGGATGCTGTGCCACTGAGTTGTGCCACAACCGAAATTGCCCAACGAATGAAAAACAAACACAGATCTTGTAATTTAACACACATTCCACATTTTAGTACCTAAAACATCAAAATCTGTTGGTACACCAGAGTTGAAGGCTGGTCCTATCCCAGAAGGTTCTGCAGGCGTTTTGGTTCTCTGACCCACCAATTTGCCAAGGTGTTCAAACCAGATGTCTGTCACCTGGAAATAAAAATGAGCTTATGCCATTAGAATTGTGAATATGCATTCATAATAGTCTAGCACACAAGACAAGTGACAGACCAAATCATTGTAGCAAATTGCAATTTCCATGTAACTTGAAGTGAATACACTGCTAATGCAGCAGTCTTATTACTCCCTCTGGCTATAGCCTGCCAGCAGACCCTCATTATCAGTACATTACCACAAGCAGTTCTTTGCCCATTGTAAAGTATGAGGCCTAGAGCAAAGCAAGCTAGTGAGAGGTCTCAAGGGGTCTAGCAACTGCTATTATCAATGACACACCCCCAGAAAACCTCACCCTGATTCATCTCAAATCTTCCCCTAGAAGAGAAACTTGCATCAAGCAGCAATACAACGAGGGCCTATTTTCTGGCTACTATGGCTACCACCAAACAACTTCAGGCTGCAATGTCTGTGAGTTGTAAAATACAAAAGAACACTATGCATATTGGCTGATTGGCTACAAAAGCACCAATACTCTACTTTTCTCAAGCCTCATACTGCATTTATTGAATATGCCATCCTGGAAGAAGTGCTACATGTGAGACCAAAAACACTGATATGCAATACCCCTTAGTAAGTGCCCCAACAAGTAACGTGATGCTTCTGAGGAACTTAGCTTAGATTTAAATTTGGCTTAAACAGCCTTGGAAATTCCTCTTCCTCCAAAACCACATAGTTAAGTTTGACTGTTTGAAACAGTGATGGTTTCCTTCCCTTCCATTAAACTCTTAAACTCAAATCAGCAGGCAGTGAGATCAAAATTTTGCAAACATGCAAAGAGCAGGGCAAGAAGAGACAGCGGATGTAATTTTAACATTTTATATTTCTTTGTCTTTATTTTTCCAAGAAAAATAAAGAATGTTATAAAAACACTCCATGACTTGCAAAAAATGTTTGAAATGCCATGATATTGGTCTTAAATAGAGTAAATACAGTCTAACAGTTTGACAACTCCTGGACTTTTTAACTCTATACAGTCATCATGATATTGCCTTACTTGATTGTACAGAGAAAATGCTACATCCAACTTGTTCTGCCTGTAAAACACATTGGCCATGTGAAAATATCCACCAGAGGTCCTAATGTCATCTGTACCATGCACTCTGGATGAGTGATAGATCTACAAAACAATGAGTGGACATAAATATTGGAGGTTTTGTCAAAGAAAGGCCTTTGGGTCACACTTTCTGCATGAATCAAAATTGCATAAAAAAAAATTATTGTTCAAAAAATTATTTTTGTTGTTGACTTGCATTTCTAAACAAATAAGAGTTTAACTCTTTACACTATATGCATATTCTCCATACTGTTCTCTATACATTTGTTAAGGTGCTAACAAGGAGACTTTGTTTAACAATCAAGCACTACTTCAGTTGGTGATCATTTTCTTTATTCTCATGATCTTAATGTTTAATTCAAGAATGATTTTGTACAGAGAAATTAGATGCTAGTCCATCCTAATGCTTATCTGGTGACTTGTCAGACTGTCAGTTAAACTTACATCATCAGCTAGTTGTGAGAGAGCATCAGGGTAGTTTCCCTGTGCCGCATACAGCAAACCCAAGTTCCTGAAGAGCTTTGATTTGATACTGTCTGGACATTCAGGAGTCTTAAGCACTGTCCACTGGGCTTGAGCTAAATACTCCTCTGCTTGAGATAACCGACCAAGACCTAAAAAGAAATACACATGAAGGTCTCACATTTGATTCTTAATGGTATACTTAGATTTCTCTTTTTTTCCAAGCTGATGAGAAAACAATTAACATCTTTCTTTAATTTCACCAGTGACACTTTACCACATGTCTTATTCTATTGACTAAGTACACTATGCATTGCAAACAATCATAACATTATTTCACCCTTAAAAATTGTTTATTGAGAAGAGTTGCTTTATCTCAAACTATTGAAAGAGACAGTACACTTGACTAAAAAATTACTACAGCACTTATCAGCTATAATTAGAGCCTTAGAGTAGCCATTGTTTGTTTAGTCCAATCATCCATGTGAGAGTAGTCTTGGAAAGAAATGACATTTCAACAACCTGAACTGTAGTCATCATTTGAGTCACTGACACCAAGCATGACTCCAATGATGACTTTTGCTCCCGTTGTCCAAACACCAGTCATTATCACAAACAATAGTTGTCTTTCAGGTCTACACAAATCTTCACAATCACACTAAATAATTCATTATCTAACTTCAATAAAAGTACTTACCTATACTTGCCTCTCCCAGTATAAGGTATGAAGGGACAAGCTCAATGCTACTCAAGCCATAAACCTCAATAGAGAACTTTAAGGATTCCAGTGCTGCTGGAACTACTCTGTCATATCTACCTTCAAAGAGCAACTTTTGACCCTCTGTGCGGCATAATTCAATCATTTGTGTCTGTTTGAAGGAAACCAAACAGGGATTTATTTTTAACTTCTCCTTGCAATTCCACTTTTTCATCTTGCAAAAAGTTATGGAGAATAGACAAGCTTATATCAGTCAGGGAGTGTCTTCAAGTTCAGTAAGGGGAAATACTAATTTGATCTTGGGACTTAAAGGGTTAAGATATTTTAACAATTTTGTACTTTGAATTCTTAAATGTTTTTCAATACCTTTCTGTTCAAAACAGTAACAAAAATGATGAATACCTGTCTGACTATTTGCTGTTGTTTCCTGTGCTGCCTTTCTTCTTCTGATCCAAGAAATGGAATGGGTGTTCGCAATGGAATTAACAACTGACATATCTTTTCATGAATTCCAAGCCAATCAGTTTTCTGATGCTCAGGACCACTGAAAACGAACAAAACATGCAAAACTGCCATTTCATTTCAATTTCTACTCATAGTTTTAACTTACTTATGCAGAGAGAAAAGAGCTTTCTTCACAGGTAGTTTACACACCAAGTATTATACACCAAGTAATAGTTCACAAGAATAGCTGCAGAAATCTTATAAACAAAATAAGGAACCTAGCTTAAAATGGATTTCAGGTCATATTGAGAGAAACCACCCATTTAAATTGTGTGTTAAGTCTATAAATATTCCCATCAGATGGTCAACTTACAACACACTATAATCAATATTCACCTCACTTAAAATACATTTCAATTTTTAACTACTGTGTGTGACCAAGACAGAATTTTTCCTTACTATATCTATACAATATCATGCAGAAAAGTAATGAGAATAAAGAAAAATATCAATTAAGGGATTAATAAATGATCCAATACCAAATTCTCCAAACTAACATAATGATAATCACTTGACAGACAGTAAGGAGAATTACTAATGAGATCTTGGGAGTTAAAGGGTTACTATACAGTCATGCAGTAAATGCCAATCTACTCCTATGATGAATGCATTCTTAAAGAAACGACACTACATTATTTCTACGACTAAATTACCGAAATACTTAAGTAAAGAAAGCACATACATATCAAACTAGTTCAATTTGAAATTTTTATTATGAAATTATTTTCATCTACAACAAAACACCTTAACATTAAGTACCGGGTATATATGATGCATAACTAAACAAAAATTCAGTGGTCTTCAAAGAATTCCAATTTTTCTCCCAAGTGCCGCAGCACTAGTATCCTTGTTGCAAATTTCAAAAATTAATACCCCTCTAGTGCTGCAGTAAAATACTCCTCTAATAATGAAATTAAATCATTGGTATAGTGACCTGCGGGTGATGTACAAAGTAAAGATACGATCTTTGCAGATGAGCTACAATTAAAATAATCTCTGAAAAGAAGCCTGAAAAATTCCAGGCTCCGATGTGCCCCCTATCTGTTATTTAGAACAATTTACTTCACTTAACAATTTAGAAATTTTAATTTCAAGAGCAGAACCTTTCATTTTAAACAGAGTAAACATTCAGAATTCAGCGCACAAGACATGAACTTACCAATAGTAAGTTACTCGGCAGTCCGTACATTGAACAAATGCTGGCTTCTGGCACAACTCACATAAAAGTTTGACACCCTTTGGGTTGGCCAAAGGATTGATAGTAATCATTTCTTTCGCAGCCGACAAATTTGTGAATAAAGTCCTCTCAAGTCCTAAAAGTCAACTTCACTCCGACCGCCATATTGTTTCGAGATGCGAAAGGTTTGTGAGGTTGCTAAGCAACCTCCCTATCACAGATTCAATGTCCGTGGGCTCATATGTTGACGAGATAAAATTTAACGGAGGATAGGATCGGTGGAAAAGGATTATGGAACTTACTTTTTCCAAGACCGGTAGGTGTTGCGCCGGGTTAATTGAAGAAAATATGCGTCACTTACCGTAAAAAACGCTAGAGCGAAGACTTTTTGCATATAATGATTAACAGAAACATGCTGTAAGTGATAAGGTTAACGGGAAAGAAATTAATGAGGAGAGGGACTGAAAAACAGACTGGTTCTCAATCCTCTTAGGTTGTCTGGCGCATTTTTCCCCGAGGAATTCTCATTGGATGGGATAGGAGAGAAAAGGAAGATAACGATAGCCACCAACTCCCTAGTTCCTGCAAGATGTCGGGACGTGGGCGTTTAAATCATGGTTTCTGCATTTTGAACAGCTCATATATTAGAGAGGTTGGCAATGACGTTAATGCTGCTAGCGGCAGTCGGGAATAATTGAACTACTTGTCGTATTCTTTCAGCCGTTTGCACACTAAAGTGATAATACTTGAATTTAAAATGGTTTGAGTATCAGAGGAAAGTGAGCAAAATCAGAGTCTGTTATTTTATTTCAGTCGTTCCTGTAAACGTCAAGCTTAAATTTATTTCTCCACCGTTCATGATCCGCTTAGATAGGCTGGTCCCTTCCTGAACACAAAAAAAATTATCAAGGAAACATACTGATTTTCCATGATTTTTTATTAGTTTTATAAAATTTTCTTTTTAATAAACTTAGCAATAAAGAAACCGATAGTATCTTCATTACACTGAGATCCTCCTGTGTCCATAACATTAACTTTAGTCGGATCAAACCGCTGTACCAATTGACATTCATCATCTGAGAGACCATAAGTACGAAGACCTGGTCCTCCCAAATGAGGTGTCTGTAAGAAAAAGAAACAAAACGTCGACTAAGAAAAAGATTCCGAGCAGTTCATCCTTTTCGACAAAGTTCGTCGCGCGAGTCCAAAAAAAACAGCCAAAAAAAATTGTGTCTAGGGCGAGAGAGTTTGACCTCTGCGTTACGCTCGCAACACACTTCTCGCGCGCCTCGTTCCCAGAGTTCTGCGCGGCGTACTAACGACGATTTCTATTTTTTCCCACTGATTTTTTTGGATTAACGCGATGAACTTCGCCGAAAGGAATTAAATCAGGTTTGTTATTTTCAATCTGTGTCAATCGTCTCCATTCTTGACCATCCTTGCTATCTTTGGCTGTATTCTTGCACCTAAGTATTTGCTGACCTTCATTGGTTACATTACAGGTACCGACAGCTTTCAAAAATTCCTCATGCAACCTCAAAATATCAGAGCAGAGATCTTATAAGACACATGTTGCATGAAATATTTTCCCTTCATCCTTAAAAGCCATGTCAAGCCCAATAACCCACAATTTCACCGAGACTAAGACGAGTTTCTGCAACGTAAACTGGGGCTGAATAGAGCACAAGAGACTAAATCATTGACTGGATAATTAGTCATAAATTAAAGAATGATACCTGACCTGTTTATCTAGTTTCAAGCAAGGAAATGACTTCAGAGCCCAAGCTACTTGTTCTTCATTTTCTTGTGGAGTTATAGTACAAGTAGAGTAAACAAGTACCCCTCCTTCCTTTAATAACCCCACAGCCTACAAAAAGAAAGCAACAGATGGGGTCAGTACAGGGGAAAAATTAGACAAAATATACTAATTGCTCAGAGAGATTTTTAATCGAGTGTTAAGTTATAAAAGGTTTCATTTCTCTCATACAAAATGTTGCAAGACTGGTTTTTAAGGATCTCCTGAAATCGCCTTTCCTGGCAAGTTTGCTAAAGCATCCTTTTTCGTCTCAACTAATATAAAGCAAATTACTTTCATAGATAAAACCGTTCTCGAATCAGTTTCAGCCGTTCACAAAGTCGCGTATTTACTTGAAAATACCAACATCTTGATGAGCTTTTGCTTACATTCCCCCTATAAAAAAACGCTGGAAGACAATGGTAAGAGCACCATTATGCGACACTTTCCTTCAAAACCGTTTTCAAAAGCTTCGCTTTCATTTAAGTAAAAGGAGCGTTTCCAAAACGATGCGTTTTCATGACAACCCATAAAAAGCCAGAGTGCTTTTATGAAAATGGAGAGTTTCGAAAATGGGTTTAGAGGCGAAGTCTTTCATAAACACCTCGTTTTTTGTATAAACAGGCCGAAGTTTCTAGAGAAGGTGGTGTTGCGTCGATAAGGAGTATTACAAGATAATAAATTTGGGTTTTATTAACTGAGTTGATAATGTAGATTAGCCACTGTAAAGACCTTTTAAAGCTGAAGTTTCGAGCGTGGACGAGGATTTAGATATATTAGCCCACTACCTATGTAGCTACAACCAAGCGCGAGATGGGTAGCCATACAAATAATGAGAGGGCCGCTGGTCAAATAATGACAGCGTCCGATGGAAGATGGTTACATGTATCATTATCAGACATTAAAAAAAAAAATTAATGAGACAATTTTAGTAACAGTAAACGATCCTTTAGGTGTAATTATTTTTTTCAACTTACAGTTGTGAAGAGTTTTCTTTGTAACCTCGGATAAGACTGTAACTCTTTTAAAGTCATTCGGACGAAAAACTGAGGACGCTGACCCAAAGCACTACAAGGCGCATCGAGAAGAATGCGGTCAAAACTACCACACGGGTAGGGTGGGGACGTCGAGAGAAAAGCTAAACAGAAAGCGAAGGAGGATTAATGTAAATGCGATACTCATTCACGTAAATAGTATTATGAGGTACACCTTATTTGTTCTTGATTTATTTTCAGTGCACTCTGTGATTGGTTAAATAAACTCCAGCCACACTCTTTACCACTTAGATGAAAGAAAACAGTATTCTATTTAGAAATATCATCGGTTCACTGTATTTCTCCCTTTTTCCTTTATATTCTGTGATCAGCCGTTGATTGGGTTTCTCAAATTACTTTTTGTCCAGACTTTCCACAGTTACAAAAGACAACACTACAGCTTAATGTTACCACAATGATAGGCACTTTGTTCCATTTCCCAAATTACAACCAATTGTCCAAAAATTGCATTAATTTAGAAAGCAACATACACTTACTGTTTTCTCCACCGTAATGTTTCTCAGAGTCGAGAGACTTAACACCATCATATATAAAACTCTTTACACATTGGATACCAAGCTTTTCACAGTTTGCTCTCAGTTTGGCTACTTTTGGCTCACTCTTGTCAAAAGCAATCACCACACCCTTAAAAAAAAACAGAATAACAACCTAACTTTCTTTAACCCTTTTACTCCCAAGATTTCATCAGTAATTCTCCTTACTGTCTGCCATATATTTCTTCTGATGTTAGTTTGGAGAATTTAGTATTGGATTAACTAATAATCCCCTAATTAAGATTTTTATTTATTCTCATCACTTGTCTGCTTGATATTGTATTGATATTGTAAGGAGAAATCCTGTCTTGGTCGCTCATGGGAATTAAAGGGGTAAAAACACAATTCAGAAAAGGGACAGAGGATAAAAGTCTTAATTAATTGTTAAATACCTATGACCCCAACTGTCAATTCAGAAACATGCAATGCACCCAAAATAAGTCTAACTTAGGGAGACAAAGAGTTGATGTAGGAGGCAATGCATTTGAATAAAAGAAATTCAACCATAAACATGTTTCAGAGGTATTTTGCTGTCACTGCCTATCACTGACTCACCAGTCATTTAATTTAACAATTTTCTTAGGTGCAAACAAAGAAAAAGTTAATGCTACACCTAATCACTAAAACATTTTTTTTAAAAAGCTCACCTTGTCTCCCATGAGGGAGGCCACATGAGTGGTTTTTCCACCTAAAATAACAAATGAAGAGTAATATAAAAGCACTTTGTTTATTCTAAAACAACTTCAACTATTTCGCTTGAAAGAGCTTCTTTGTCTTTGTTATAACAATAAGATTGTTAGAAGGTGTATTCAATAAAGTAATTGTCAACACAAGGGTGAGTTGGTAGCATGCTCCCAGCTGTTGGCTATGATTCTTGCATATAATCACATATCAAAGAGGTATGGAAAGCACACTTTTCTCACGACCAAAAGGTCTGAGTTCAACCCAAGCTGTGATATTGTTCTGTAGTCTCCAGCAAGACAGTTTAATCTCACACTGCCTCTCTTCAGAATTTTCCATGGTATGCATGTCATCATGACTAAGCATTCTAGAAATTTCTAGATAAGTATTTTACAGTTATTATCCATAACACTGTAACTAGGTATTAATAACTTTCTGGGAAACTTGATAAAATGCCAAGAGGGGGTTGGGGTTAGCCATGATGGACTGACACTTGTCTCTGGGGAAGGGTGGCCAAACTCCCATTCTCATCAAAATTAAGACATCAGGATTAGCACTGATAACAATGGGCAATCAAGTGTTTAAGACCTCAAGACTTAATATAACCCATTTCCAAACTAAAGTGGATTATCTATTTTACCTGGAGCAGCACACATGTCTAAGATGACTTCACCAGGTTGAGGGTCCAACACATGTCCAACCACCACAGACGGCAAGTTTTGAAGGAACAGCAGATGAGGAAGCACTCCCCCAAGTGATGGACAGCTGAACAAAGGAGATGTCATATGAACTGCCACACCACTGGAAAGAAAACAAAGATGCAAATTAACAACCTCTAAGGCTTATCCATGCCTAAAAATCCAACAGTAATGAGGCATTATTGCCCTAACCCTTCTGCAATGAGTTTCACACAGCAGATAAGGCATCTACCTCAGTATTCCACTAGAAACACTAAGAACAAATCAAGAAAATCAAGGTAATCTGAATTGTTACATGTTTATCACACTCTCTGGATTAACAGTGAGCAAAGAATTCACAAAAAAAGTCAAGTTTGTCATAATGAGAATTAAAAAGACCTCTAACTACAGCTAAAACAATTACCTCACATGTTCTTGTGAGCAGAATAGATCTTTTCTGGCAAGGACAGCTGTTCCATTTCCCAAAAACACCCTCTTACCATTGTAATGTTTGGTAAGACCTTTACGGCATTTTCCTTCCAGATCGGCATAAACTGAGACTGTGTCTCCACCTTCCATGCCTATAAATGAATGTTAAATAAAAGTAATTTATCATGTTCCCACATCATAATGCTATCCATTCTAACTGCATATGTCTCTGTTTCTGCTATATTACTGTACATGAAATGCCACATTAAAACCAGACTGAGGAAATGTTTAAGAGAGAATAAAAATAACATGGCCATATGAAAGGGGTTTATCCAGGTATACATAAATTTTAAGATTTTCAAACCACAAGAGCTGCCAGAGCTAGTAAGGAAAATAGTTCCTCCTCTTAAATCAGGCACTATCTACCACAAGAATCTCAGCATTTTTTCTGGTTTCCCAGGGCATTTTTTTCAATATCCCTAACTTTGAGTCCCATTTGACCCTTTACACACTGAGATCAGTATGCAGATTCTCCATTATGTTTTCTATACAGTTACAAAGAAACTTTCAAAGAGAATTTGTTTATCAATCAAGAGCTTCTTCACTTGAAAATTATTTAATCCTTAATTCTCATAACTTTATTTTTAATTCAGTGGTGATACTGTAAGGAGAAACTAGATGTTAGTCATTCTTTGGGGTCAAAGGATTATTGGAGCACTGACTGAAAAGATGTCTTGGGGAGTTACATGTACATACTCACCAGGGTGAGCTGCCATGACACCAGGAGCAAAGATATCTGCCCCTCTAAGTATTGCAGCCCCACAGTTGGAATCAACAATAATCTCCTTTACAACTGGTACAAGATTAGTGTCTGGGCCAAATCCATGGATTAGCAAGACATCATTCAATTGCTCATGCAGGATCACTTTGTAATGATGTTGTCTTGCTTCCTTGCCCTCCTTCAATCAAAATGCAACTTATTTGTTATAGTAAAACATTTATTTTGAAAGGTTTCAGTTCTTGCTTTTATCAATTTGAATGATCCTTTGTTTGCATGTTTTACCTTATCTCATTCAAGGAGTAAGATGTATATTAAGCCCCTAACTCACCCTAGGTGACCAAGACAGAATTTCTCCTTATAATATGAATTTGACACCACACAGACAAGTCATGCAAATAAAGATAAAAAGGTAGGGGATTATTAGATGATCCAATATCAATTTCTACAAACTAACATTATAAGAATTGTATGAGAGACAGTAAGGAGAATTACAAATGATATATAAAAGTAAAACGGCTACGTTACACTTATTATGTTTCAGCTCCTAGTGAACCTAAATAAAGTGATGCTCATTTTTATTTAAACCAAATCCAACTCTGAAAGTAACCAGTAAATACTTGTGAAGAATCAAGCAATGGCACCTACACCAAGGAGATCCTCTGATTCCAAGTTGAATTAGGATTTGAAGGAATGTCTTTTGTCAAGTGAAGAAGCAAAAGAACCGAAAAATGCACTCAAAGCAAGGTTAAGAATGAAAAACAAACCAAACACATTTGTGACATCAGGATATAGGAATTGAACCTGGGCATGGATTTAGATGCTTTTACCACTGTTCTATCTCAGCTTTGGGGGAGACCAGCCCTTGTAACCTACCCACCATCACTGTTATGTTGGCTATTAAACCTAACCAGGGAAACATTGTCACATCTATATACAAGATCTTTAACAAAATGTCACCAAGCTTTACCTACCTCACTGTTGTAAAAATATTTTTTTACATTTTATAGAGAAAACAACCAAGGGGCTAGCTACTCAAAATAAGCTTAGCTCTCACATACCTCCTCCAAAATCTTCTGTAATTCCTGCTGTGCATCTTGAACTGTTGTCTTCAGAGTATTAACCCTCACAACAGTGTACAAAGGTGGAGTAACAAGTGCCTTCAGTAGCTTATCAAATCCAGTAGTACTATCACTCACATCATGTTCCTGTCTTAACGGAGAAAATTTGCCTTTCAGAGCTTTATTTAGGATTTGTCATAGGTCACTGTCTAAGAAAATTACATGGTGCTAGGTATCACCTACAGTCAGCAAAACCTTAACTTGACAGACCTAACATCAGTATGCATACTCTTCACACTGTTCTTGGTACACTTCATAAGGGGTTGACAGGGAGAATTTGTTTAACAATCAAGAGCTTTTTCAGTTAGTGATCATTTCCTTTGTTCTTCACGATCCTAATGTTTGATTCAGTTAGAATGTTTGTTAGAAGAAATTAGATGCTAGTCAATCTCGAGGGTCAAAAGTTTAATGAGTAAATGGCAAAGTTGGCTCGCCATGGCTGTTCAACAACCCCATGTACTTCATGGGTCTGCGGTTACTCTGCCTCGTAACATTTCAAAAAATGAAATGGAACCGTGAGAAACTGAATTAAAGGGAATGGGTATGCGGTTAACAGGCCTGGGGTGAAAAGGTGGGGTGTACAAATCGATAGATTAGGATAAAGGCACCACAGATGAGCTCCCAGGAGCAACCATTAATATGACTCCATACTACAACAAAGCGCATAGCCCTAGCATTAAAGCTTTCTAATATATCGAGCATACCCCCGATTATTGAAAACGTTTTGTTTCACCAATGAAGCAATCTATCGGGATCGTCTAAAAACTGGCCACTACCTTCATAAAAAGAATTTCTTACTTCTCTTGATTCTCTCTAAATTACTATATCTAGAGCAAGATTAACACGCCTTTAATTACCTTTAAAAGACACAGCAAACTTCTCAAATAGTCCTCAACTTCTGGGACTGAGAAGGTCAGCTTTGTAAGACCGTACGACATGCTAAATATCCGCCATGTTTTCTTGATTGGTTCCCAGGTTCTAAAGATCGGCCCTCCGTCCCCCTACAATCCCCGACCCTCCCATGAGCAAATTTCCCACTTCAGCTGGCGGTAGTATTCTTTTAAAAACATAAACGTGTTATGTTAACCTCATTTTTTAAATAAAAATTATTCCTTTTCTGCACATGTCGACGAGGCTAGGAGGGCTAATTTTTCACGGATATGAAAAGAGCAGCAACTAAGCCCGTTATTTGTAAAAAGAGGTGTAATCTTTCAAATGAAGATTCAAAATCACGGTAACTTTGTCCTCATTCCGCTTATATAACTTCTGAAATTTTCCTTTCATGTCATAGTAAAGCTTATTCATTGAAATGACCATGTAATGTAGTGATTGGTCATTTTCCAATTACGGAGAAAAAGATAAACTTTTGAATAAGTACCGGTGACTGGGGCACACACTACGCTATTATGTAATCGTTGACTACGGAAATATGTCAATTTATAACCGGAAAGTAGACGCCCAATTAGTTATCAATCCGAAGCAATGTGATTCAGGTTAGCCTACCTTGTGAAACCTGTGACTGTTCATCAAAGTTATAAGATTGAATCTGTGACCTTCCTTGGATGCTGACTTTAGCGTCCGGATAAATTTAGGAAATAGAGGAATGAACCGTTAATTGAATGTTATACGCAAATTAATCATAATTGAGAGAAAAATGAGGTCCCACAATCCTCACATTTTCTGCAGCTTACTTTATCAAGAAATTTCTAAAAAGATATATGAAAAAGAAGAACCTTTTAAATGCCTAGAGCCTTTATTTTTCCTCCACCAAGAGGGTGGCAAAGGCGGAGTCCTGACCAGATTTACGCCCGAATTTTAGAAAAATTCACGCATCACGTACATTTTAAACAGCATTTCAGGCTTTACAAATTAAAAAGGCCGGAAAAACTTTAAATATCTCTTCTTGTGTGCGAGGTTTTAGGGAAATCTCAAGGTTTTCAGTAAAGAGGAAAAAATTGATGGGTCACGTCTACTTCACGAGGCAAATCACACCTCACGTTGTTTCATAAATATTCACGAATCACACTCGCCTTTGTGTAAAATTCACGTGTCACATATCAATGTTGGCCTTAATCAAGCGTCACGCGTACACCTTTGCTACCCACCAAAGACGATTTCCTCAGAAGACGTTAGTCACTCTGGAAATTCAGTCTGAAAGCAAAACAGAGTAAATGGTTGATGGAAAGCTACCTTAATGAAGATTGACAATAGTAATGGCTTGACATCACTACTTTGAAAATGGAAGCTAGTAGCGTGATTTTTCCAATGTTGTTCTGAAATAAGGGAACGTGTTATTAAGATTGACATTTTTGAAGGCGTGTCGCCTAAATGTGTTTTTCATTAAACACTACGACAAAAATAGGTTTATATTACACGAGGAAAGAAATCAATGGAGACGAAAGGTAAAAGCGAACTGGTCTTCAGTCAAAATAATTGTGTAAGCGAGAGAGGGTTTGTTGTTCTAATAAAATCAGTTTACAACACGAGAACATTTGATTTCATATGGCAAAATCAACACTATGTTCTGAGCGTTGTATGTTTTTTAGCATAAATATTGATCTAAGAGTGTCTTATTTGAAATATGAATGAGGGTCATGATTAAGGGTCATAAATAACACATAGTTTCACGACCTTGTACGTGGTGAAAGTAAGTGACCCTGAAATTCGACCCAAAAGGCACGTGCATCCCTTTATTGAGCACGTCTAGGTAGGTCACAGAGTCAATAAAAACTAATATAAATCAAGTAAGAGGTCAATAACAGTAGATATTCCGGCTCTCCTAACCAGCAAACGTCAATAATCAAGATTAATCCTTCCTGAAAAACTTATCTACAAATTGCGAAATGTTATCAGTCAATGATTCAATTCAAATACATAAGTTCAGTTACTAGGATAAAAGTACATGCATTGTTTCTTTTGAGCCAGGGTATGATCTGAATGAAAGAGAACAGATTTCAATTTAAAGAACACTTTTGGGTGGGGAAAAAGTACACAGTGGAATTATTATTTTCAGTTACGCTTTTGTCCTTTGACAACGTCGCGCGCGCTTTCCACTAAAGCAAAAGGTGTCACGGATGACGTCACGAAACAGTCGTCGCTTTTATTCAAGGTATTTCCGCCGGCTGTGAATAACCATCTTCGCTTCGGTGAACGTGGATCGAATCTCGCATTACACATCGATCATCAAGTGTTGTGTCTCGTTGAAAATTTGTCATTTTTGTGAACTGTCTTTTCGGGTCAACTATGGCTCAATTCGAAGCCCATGAGAACGATGTAACGGAACAAATTAAAACAATCGGGTCGAACGAACCGGCATCGAAAGGTTGGCAAGCATTCCAAGTCGTATTTTGGACGTGGCTGACGGTAGTGACTGTTATTGGGAATTCTTTGGTGCTTCTGTGTATTCCGTTTAAAAAGCGACGAAATTCGTCCATGTTTAAGTTTTATGGGAGCCTTGCCTTGGGAGATCTGATCGTAGGTGAGTGAAACAGAAAGGGTAGGTCATAAAGGGTTAACTAATGATGGCAAAATTTTTCGTCACATGTCTAATCGAGTAGTTAATGATTTGTTCTTCGAATTACAAAAGAGGCGCAAATAATTTGCATGCAGAGCTAGTAAACACTTGAATGATATACCTGCTCAATCAATTAAGCCGCAAAACCAAAATTTCTTATGCTAACATAATTTTTTTCAACCCCGTATTCAGGTGTACTAAACTATTCTGTAAAGATAGTGCATTATTTACAAAGAAAACGGCACGCAAACTACATCAGTCAATTACGAAAAAATATTAAAATTCCTTACATTCTGAAATTTAGATTCTAAAAATTACCTCCATTAATTAAATCAATATTTTTCATTTATGGAGATTACTCACTATCATAGCTTTTTGGAAGAAATATAAAAATATTTAAATTTATTAATGATCTACATGGTTAGTTTTTATTGTGATGAAATTCATTAGTCATATTTCCGATGTTCTGTTTCGCAGCAAGGACATTTTCCAGATTAGAAAATCACGCTGCCGCTTGACTTCCTTTGATAATTGGCATTAGTAAATATTATCTTTCACTCTAAGTAAATAATTGTACGAAATTCAAAAGGTTGAATACAAACAGTAGTGTTTAGATGTCAGATCCTTTCTTATTTTAATTTATCTGACTGAATAGAGTTTCGTGACCTGTGCCCTGTCTATCGATATAAATCATACGTCTTTTCTTTTTATATGTAAACAAAAGGAAATTAACTTTTTTTTTCAAAATTCTTACAAACAAAACCTGTATTTTTGCTTTTTTAAATCTTGAGCAGCTTCCTCTTGACTTTCTCAAGGAAAATAATTAATTAAAACTCTGGAACGTTTAGCTAAAGAATCGGCCATAAAAAATTACCTGGTGACCTTTAGACTTAAAATGGTGTATAACAGTTTCAGGATTTCCGAGCTCACGTTCACGCCTCGAGGGCTTTCACGTACACATTTTGCACAATTCTGATCTATCTTCGTCCTCACCTTATCACAAATCGTCCCTTGAAAACCAACCTTAAACAAAAATAACTTCAGTTGAAAATATCTGCCATCATTCTGAAGAATAGTTTTGAAAAATTGTTGCACTTTACTACAAACATTTCTTTTGTGTTTGTTTCATTTTAAGACTCGCGCTTACTGTCTGGTATGATATCGGATTAGTTTCATAAGTGACGTCAGCAGATCACGTTTACAACGACACGTAACGCGTACGTAACGCCATTTTGAAGTAGGAGTTGAAGTAGGAGTCGCGAAAGGGCTCACGACAAGACGCAAACGGAAGATCGAAATCGAAAGCAGTCACCATAGATATACTACATTCATAACAGAGTCGGAAAAATTAAGGCATCTTCATTTCCTCCGGTACTGCGGCGCCTCATTTAAGACTATTGTTGGAGTGGCAAGCAAAAGCAGTAGAATCCAGCAATCACAAGCCAAGCCAAGCATACACTTAACCTTGCAATAGATTCAAAAGTGACGTCGGTTTTCTCCTTCTAAATCCTTGGGTTTGATTTTCACTGAATCGTATCCTTCTACATTGCGCTTCTAATCACGACTCTGACTAAGACGCTCTCGTTGGTGCAACCAGCCTTAAGTTCGAGTAGCTGGTAGAAGGAAGCGCCGAATCGGAGTCAAACATGACTGCTTGTGTCGGTGTGAAGGCGTAATGACCGCGAAAAGAAGTCAGCGCGCGAGGGAATTGCGGTTCCACCTCTTTTACGTCCCCACTACCGACACCTGCGTGGGCAACTTTACAATGACTTGATGACATGCCACACCGAAATTGAACGTCATCTGATTTATCGTTGTTGTCAGATGGACGTCATCTGATTTATCGTTGATGTCAGATGGTCAATCAATACCCAAACACTCATACACACACAAACACACACACACACACCACAAATGATATGCACTTCCAAAGTGGCGCTTTTCTATATAAATGGCTTATACCATTATTGGATCGTGATTCGAAAATTTTTTTGTCATTGAGTAATGCTACACGGTATCTCCGTCAGTAGAGTTGCGATATAGTTCAGAGATAAAGGCTCCTAATGATAGCAGGAATGCTTTGTAAGCTCCCTGAATGAACCGGCCCTAATCTAGTACGCGTACGCATTTTCTAATGGGAAATGGGATATGGGTACTAGATTAATATTTTTATGAACGAAACAAAAGGGTGCTTTTCCTTTTCGGCACAAACTAAACAGTTTCCATATCTCTTTCCAGGGATTTTTTGCGCTCCCCTTCTACTAGCAGCAGCATGCCGCCAGCAGTGGAAGATGGGAAACGCTCTGTGTTACGCTTACTCCACTGTGATTTCACTGTCTCTCAACGTCTCCGTCATGACTTTGTTTCTAATCAGCTTAGACCGCTTAAACGCCGTTTCAAAGCCTTTCCAGTATAGAGCAAAAGAAACCTTCACGCAGAAATGGGCATTATGGCTCATTCTCTTCACCTGGCTACATTCCATATTCTGGGCCGCGGCGCCCTTGGTGGGCTGGGGAGAGATAATCAATGACGAAATTACCAACTCCTGCAAGCCTAACTGGTCAGCGAAAGGACTCAAAAATGGTACGTACTCCATGGGATTAGCAGTATTTCCCTTCGCTATTCCTGTGTTGTCGATGATAGTTGTGTATATAATGATATATCATAGGTCGAAAGCGAGCAATCGTTTCATAAGAGATAGATCACAGACCTTAGCCGATGAAGAAAAAAAGCGACGAAAGCAACAAAATGCTATATTACGGACAGTGTTAGTAGTCGTGGGTATGTTTGTGTTTTGTTGGCTACCCTACACCATCGCTACCATGTTCAAACTGTTTTTCCGCGCCCTTCCACCCACGTGGTTAGTTCATCTGGGTTTAATGCTTGCCACTGCGAACAGTGCGGCTAACCCCGCAATATACTCAGCATTTGATAAGAGTATGCGGAACGAGTTCAAGCGAATGTTACTCATTTGTCGCAAAAAACGGGACACGCTAGAAGAGGATGGGGTGCGAAGTCGGCGAACCAGCTCAAACATGGCTACGTGGAACAATACGATCACAAGAATAAGCGACGAAGCTGTCAACAAGATTATTGATAAGGATACGAAGGAGATGAACGGTAATAATTTACCAAGAAAACAAACGATGACAGACTCTTACAACAATATGATCGAGTTGTTCGTTAAGGACATCGGTCAAAAATGGGAGAACCCCTCGAGAGAGACTTGGGTATAGAAATCTGTGTTGTGGATGTTTATATGTAAGAACACATTTGTGAAACAGACAGGGATCCCCGCCGGATCCTCACGGAGCCCATCCTCCATTTGATGCGCCAATCGACAATCATCCGAAATTCGCGGAATATTGGAGTACATTGACTTCTCCTTAGTGTGAGCTGTCACCATCGCGTGCGATGTGTTTCTTTGCCCCTTGCTTCTGCAACAACTTGTATTCATTTTCACTTAGTGGAGAGTTACCCCAATTATTTTTTACGGTATATGCCATTGACGGCGCATATAGACGAAAAACTTGCTTTCATATTGACGCTTTCTATCGCGTACCAGACAGAGCTAAAACGCCTTTACGCGCATCACGAGATCGCGCTTGATAAAATTGTTGCAACACGATAGTGGAATTTACCAAGAAATGTAAAGTAGCGAGGCTTTCTGTTCTTCATAAGACGAGGGTAGAATGATTAAGCTTGGACCTTACACTGCAGACCGTCCTAAAACAGGATCTCAAAATATATTTTGAGCAGCACAGGTTAACCGAGAATTATTAGTTCAGTCGCAAAAACGAAACGGCAAAAAGCCGTATAAGTACCCGGTTTGTCGGAGCAGTACATTGACATACACACAAGTTCCACAGTTCTGCCCTCGAATCTCTGTTTTACTTACTGCAACTACTGTAATTAAATAGTAAATATATAGTCAGACTTCAAAATTTCACGCAGTGAAATTTCATATAAATATATTCTAATGACTGTAACAAGGTTAAAGCTAACATTGTAAATATTTGTTTAAAATAAAAATGAAGGTATTTATTTTATTTAAGTCAAAAGAGATTATAGGGACAGAAACGACGAATTTGTGATACGAAGTAGAATCATACGGAATTACTAGAAACAAACAAAAAAAAAAGATTATAATGATGTATCAACTTATCCATTACCCTTAAATAAAGAAATATTAAATAATGATCTCGAACAGTTTATGTTTCGTTCTTGTATGGAAGAATTTCATAAAAGGAAATAGGGCTTAAACGACTGGTGGGAAAAGAATTAGAAGAGCTCACTTCGATGGCTGTCGTAAAACAAAAACAAAGTCATCAGCCAATTAGAGCAAAGGAAAATATTACAAGGAGCCAATGAGAGGTCAAAAAGAAAACAAGCAACCAGGCTGAAGCGGGGGAAAACAGAAGCTGCCAAGTCGTGGCTATTTTAGTTTTTCACCTATAATTGGTTGAGAAACCTTTCCAGAAGGTTTCTCTACCATCTATAGCGCAAGTTTCTATAGCAATCTGTGAGCATACTAAAGAAAAACCAAATCTATGTAGACATTTAAGTCGAAAACTCCTGTGCAGAACAGCAAGAAAAGACGCACGTAAAATGACGAGGTAAAAGCGCACAGAATAGCCTAGACAACAAGTAAGTTTCCCTTCCAAAGTAATTCCAATTAGAAAAACAAGTATCGTTCTAACTTCCGCGTGCGTTTACCGAAACCTCGCCACATCAATTGCTAAATCCCTCAATTTACAGAGCTACTATGTGCAATGATTCAGCCAGACGAAAAAACTGAGAAAAATACAGAAAGACTCCAATGTTCTTTAGCCTATAATTCATTATGTTTGCCCTGTGATTCGGTCTGTTGACTTTTTAAAACATCATCAAGTCTTTCCTGTATAAAATCTCTCACAGACTTGTCCAGTTGTTCCGAATGTTTTCCAAGAAATTTGTTAAAATCTTCCAAGGTTTTATCGTCTCTCAAGAGGAACTCCTCGACAAAAGGAGGCTGCTTCTCCACAGATTGTAATAGTGTAGTAACTCTATCGTCACGTCGCCGAGATTCGCCACGGATATTTACCTGAGAAGTAATGACAAGGGCAAATCAGAGCAAAGACAAATTTGCGAAACGAGCCAATGAGAACTCAGAGAAAACTAAAGTAGCTGGTTCAAGTGCGGGAAAATGCAAGTGGTCAAGTCCTTATTTTTTTTTCTTTTCAGACTTTCATTGTTGGCTGGGGCATGTAGGGAGATTGCATGAGTTTTCTACACCAATAATAAAGAGTACAAAAACAACACCAAAGAAATCACATTACAATGGACAATTGATTGAAAAGTAATCAAAATACATGTACTATTTAAAAAATTACTCATCATGCATTCTCAAACACAAGATAATGTGGTTTTATCAACTGAGCTGATAATGTAGATTCGCTTTGCCAAAAGGCTAACGCTCGAAATGTCATCTTCAGAAACTCTTTACGGAGGTCAATTTACATTATCAACTCGTTTTATTCCCCCACCAACGCATCACCACACTTTCCTTATAAACTTGTCCCCTTAAGTCTCTAATACAGTTTGCTGAAAAAACCCTATCGGATTAGCAAGATAAATATCTGGTTTTGCTGTTTCAAAGAGTCCTGAATTTCGTGAAAAAGATCCAAAGAGATAGAGTTTCCACGCTTGTAGCGAGAACGGAATGTGATTCCTACGCTTTTAAATGACACAGTCGCAAATAGTTGCTGATCAAAGATAAATCAAATCTCATTCCCTGTCCCTTACCTCTCCAGGCAACGTTTGCCCGAAAGCCTCATCTACCACGTCGGCAGGTACGGACATGACGTTATCTTCTGTTAGGTAACCATCCTGGTCTGTATCAAGTAGCGAAAACCGCTGCATGATACAACAGGGGAAATTGGAGGTTAATAGAGCGATTCAGATTTCTGTAATAGTTCGCAAACGTGTATAAAAAAAGGTCAAGAAGTGTTTGTCTGAAAGCCTCATTACTCAAATGCCAAATACAGAATAATCTTTTGGCAGACATCAAAAGGTATGGTAAAAAAATTGCTGAGCTTTTGGAAGCTATTATTATGATTTACCGTTTTTGTTATGAGTCTTTCTCCGGTGTGCTCTCCCTAGAGGAATATCAAAAGATAAAGACAGTCAAATACAAAAATAAGTCTTTATATGCTCAGTTAGGCACTGCATGATAAAAACGGTCGTTAAGACACGGCATAGTAAACTAAGCTTAACAAAGAGACAAAGTTTGCGAGCCACTGCAAAGGCTAGTCGAAAGAAACAGAACTAAAAACAAAGGGACAGTAGGAAGTCAAAGAAAAAAATTATGAAAACGCCAGTGATCAAGTCGTGACCTGTTTTAGTAATGTAATATGATCTGATTGGTTGAGAGGGTGTGCGGTTGGTTAAGGCCATTCACTGAACCGAAAAAAGCAAAGCCAAACGAAAACAGTATGTACTTACCACAATCAAAGGATTGATAACATTATATGTCATCATTCCATTGTGTTCTTTTATCACTTTAAGAAGCATAAATCTGCAATGCAGTAAGCAGTAGACTAACTTCTGGTAATGCTAACTTGGGTTACATTCAGCCCAAATTTGTCAACTTTACAATTCAAATTCAAATTTCTTTTAACCCACTTTCCCTTTTCTTTTCCATTCTCTTTTTCCCTTTTCAAAATGACAGATAGCGATACTCATTCTATTACTAATTATCTTAGAGATCTGCTGGTGCAATTTATATGTTAGGCTGAATTAACCCTTTAACTGCCAAGATCTCATTAGTAATTCTCCCTACTGTCTGTCATACAGTTCTTGTGATGTTAGTTTGGAGAATTTGGTATTGAATCAACTTATAATCCTCTAACTGATATTTTGATATTCTCATCACTTGTCTGCTTGATGACATTGTAAGGATAAATTCTATCTTGGTCACTCATGGTAATTAAAGGGTTAAGTGCTCATTTTGATTGGTTCTTATTTATATTGGAGGACAGATGCATTGATGACCTCATGACTGATGACAATTTGCTTTTTCATCATATAAAACAAATAGATTTTATGTTGCCATGGGTCTGTTCCATAATAGATCACAAAGGATGGCAAAATGAGGCAAGAAAATCAGTGGCACCCTCGGCTGTGCCTAGTATGCCATTTTTTTTTTTTAACCTCATCTGTGATCTTGCTATTACTGAACAGGGAATCTATTTGTAAGACAAATAACCCAATATACTCACTACATCTAAGTAAAGAGACAATGGAAATGGATGGAAATGCTGGTCATCTCACTTAGGGGAGACAATTGCATATTTTGTTATTTCTTAGGATGCTAAGGGCTAAATAGAACCAGTTGTAAAAGGAATAGTGACAGGAAATGCTTTTTAGTCTGTCAGGTCAATTTGAGAGGAATCATTTCATGGGGGTATCTACCATGGAGGAGATTGGTTCTCTTTTCCAAGGAGTTTTCCCTCTCCTTGGGAAACAGTTTTTACACACCTTAGCTGTTCTCCTGTTGTGAACTTAAAGTTACTCAACTTTGCCTTTGATGAATCTCCATTTTCTGAATTTACTGTTGGTGAAGGAAAGAACAGAGAGGATTTACATATGTCATAGTTGTGAAGTATATAAATTATAACATGGTATAAATGTGTGAACCCATCATTTGGAGTCAAAAGAAAAACACAGGCATAGCTATCCTATGTTAGGGCTATTTGTAAACTGCTCATGGCTATCTTTTATTGTCTTTCTCTTTTGTTTTCTGTGGCTCACAAGTTACTTTGAAATTTTAATTTGTTGGCATCATTTCAATTCTATTCCAAAAGTAACACAATCATGAAAACACTTGTTCTTTTGGGCAAAGCATCCATCACAACAGTTTACAGCACATCTGTTTTTACCTTCACAGTCTGTTGAGTTAAATCTGCTGAATGGTGTCCACCAAATGTTCACAGCAATGTTTCGAAACAATGATGTTACTTGATGAGCCCATCTAAAAAAAAGTTATAGATTCAAAAAACTCAGGACAAGAAGTCATCCAAGTTGCAGACATCTGCCCTGTGAAAAAGGCTACAACAAACAAATAAAAATCTGCCAGCTAAATATACAAATGAAGGCAGGAATGTTACTAGAAATTTCAAGTGTGAGGTAGGGGAGCAGAAAAACTGAACAAGTCAGATTCAAATCCTGAGGAAGCACCTGGAAGATCTTTGGATGAGAAGAATGCTATAACATTCTGACCCTGCTTTTGCACAAGTCACATGCTATCTGTAAATCTCACTGCCTGATAGTGGCCTATCAAAGACAGAAAAATAATCATAGAATATTCCGTATCAACCTTGCCATGTCATATTAATGCTCATCAGGTTTAAAAGTTGATTTAGGATCAAGAAAAAATGATGGAATTTCAAATGTAAACCATATGTGTCACAACATTAACACCCTGTTGAAAACTGAGGTTTTAGAAACACACCCAGTTCCAAGAGGCTGATCAGTGACATTACTTGACTTGGTTAGATTCAAGGCCTGAAAGCAAACAACTTTTTGGGAAGTAGACTCAGTATCATGGCATGGAAGAAACTTCTCACCCATATGGTATAAAAAGACAGTCCCCTGGCTCCAGACGTGCTGACCACCATGGAAGATTTTGCAAACTTGGATACTTGAACATGTCTACTTGATCAACATTAACACTGCAGTAATCACCCTCTCCATGGTCCATATCAATTAATTTGCTGTGTTCCTGAAAGTTTCAATTAGACAAACACTCATTTATCAAAATTAGTAAAACATAAGTCAGAAATGATGTGCCACCTGTGAGTTTCAAAATCCCAACCAACGAAATGAGATCAAATGCAAAAACAAGTTGTGGGAAGAAAAGGAAAAGGAGAAATAGAATAAATTTAATTGTAAATGCTTTGCATATACCCACTGAACACCAGTTTTCAACAGATGCTATGGGCATCAATGATACAGCCTCCTAAATCCATTCAATGTTTCCTTTTTAGAGGGAGTTTCTATAGGAGCCCAGCTAACATGTTTCTCCTAAGACTCAAATACTGTTAGAAACAACACATAAACCACACTACTTTTGTATAAATATATATATAAAGTTTTAAGCTCTAGCTGTATATAGCTGGCATATATTCTGATGAGGGAGTTCTTGATATTCTGATTGAGTACTGAAGCCACCTTATTGGAGAAAGATCAATGAAAACTCAGAGAGAAAAAAGTAGTGACAATGCATTAAGTGATTAAAAACAAACAAACAAACAAACAAACAAACAAACCTCTACCCCACCAGTAGTTGGTCATTCACCCTACCACCTCCCTTGCCTCACTCAAGGCTCTCTGGTCCTTGAACTTATTGATCCATAATGGCACCTCAATACTCATTCAGAATACAAAGCCCTTGCCCATCACAAAATATTAACCATCTATAGAGTGATGTATTTTGATCAATAGATAACGCATTATTTTCAGATTGATCTCTACCACTTTTCAATCTTCATGTGAAAGTGCTCCTTGTCAGGCAAATGACTGAAATTGATTAATATCAATTAAAAATTCTTACCAGGTCAACTATAAACCACTCCTTTACTCCACTGATCATACAGTTAACATTATCCACAGTATCCATGTGAAGAAAAGATTTTGAACCTCCACTGCTAAACCACATTACTGCATCCTAAAATGTCAAAAATGTTTGAAAAATTTAAATCAGGAAAAAATTGGCAAATTATGTAGAACCTTTGGATAAATAATAGGGTGTTAATAGAGTTAATAACAAGTGAGAAGGTCACCTTTTTAAGTTATTTATTTTATATGTGAGGTATAAACCAGGCTTCTTACATCCTTGGTGGATTATTCATTTTAATTTTGATAATTACTTTAAATTTGCCATTTTAGACTGAGACAACCAGACAACTGTCCCATAAGAAGTAAAGAGGGTAAAACATTCTTTCTTTCTTTAACATTCTACTATGGAGACAAAAAAAACCAGTCATCCCTCAAGCAGTAGGCATCCCCAACCAACCACAAAAGAGAGTAATAAGCCAGTTTAAAGTCATGGCAATTTAATGGTATCGATCATTTCTTACTTGAAGTCTGGTAGTAAATCCTCCACATAACAGGCAGTTTGGAAGGAAAAATTCATCCCACATTTCTTTAGGCAAGGTATCCACCAGGTATCTATCTGAATCATTGTATATTGCCAAGAATTCAGAAAGTGTTAGATCATCAGCTGGTCTATTTCTGTTTTCTTTTTTACCATAATCCACTCGTACAGTTACACTGCCATACTTTTCCCTGTAAAATAAAAAATCATCTGATAAAAATATACTTCATACTGTCAATAACAGTCACAAACTCTGATTTCTTGGAGATCATATTTTGCAAGTCCTCACCAGCAACTTCAATTTTCATATCCAAACACAAGCACAATAACAGTAGCTGCATTTATTTAGACTGAGGTAAAAAAAAGGTATTGACTTCTTAAAACAACTTAAGAGTTTGAAAAAATTAAGAAGCCAGCAGACAGTACACATGAAATAAATTAAAATACTAGGGTAAGAGACACAAACATATCTCACTCTTTCAGACAAAATTCATACAGATAAAGATTTTCTTTTTGTAAACATTATTTGTGGACACTCTAAGCTGTTGAATATTATTATATTACTTACTTATGTTTAAAGTTAATAGTTTAAACCCTGAAGTTAAGTTGCTGTTATTATACAACTGGCAGTGCTTGTGAACAATATGAAGTGAATACTATGTTCTGATTGGCGATCTGAGCAGGCAACATAGGCCCATCTTGCCTGATCCAGTTTGCCTGCTTTGATCTTGCACAAGAAAACAAGATGTTGGCTGAGGATTTACAGAGTTTGTGGACAATATGCAATAGAGTCACAAACATGGCAGAAAAAAAGTAAAACAAAAGTTAACATTAATAAAACAACTCTTGTGCTGCAACAGTTGATTTTCTTTCCCTGGCTCTTAAAATAACATGTCATTCTTGATTCATAATTAAGCAAAATGCTTTTGCTATACAATAAATAATTCAATGACCAAGCTTGGTTGATAAAGATGGCTGGATATTAGCCTCTTTATTCACCTCCATTTTTACATTTTTATAGACCTTGACTTTGTCTGCAAAAAAAGAATGTGACCTACATCCAGCCATCTTGACCTGGCACTCACTCAATAGCAAATATATCATTTGGTCTAACAGTCCAGGAAAAATCATTCCTGAAAAGGGCTGTTGTTGAGACAGTGACGTTTTATCAGTGGTGCCTCTGAAATTGTCAAATGTCAGTTACTATGCAAAATTTAACATTCCTCATCAGGGCTACTCTCACCCAGGCAATAAAACTGGCTTGCTGTATTTGGCTACGCTGTTGCGGTGTCCCTGCCATTTTTGGTCATTTTCTTTGTCATTTTCCTATTTATTTTGATTGTTTCTGTATGGTGAAGTTAAGAAATAAATAACTACATGTTTTATTTGTGATTTTTTTTTTACTATTAGTTACATGTGCATTGTAGCTGACTTGGCACCAACTTATTAACTGATTAGAAGATCTCTGTTAAAAATATGCATATTTTGCTTTGGTTCTTTGAGGCCATTAAACCATAATGTTTACTTTTGACAGCTGGAAAATCAGTTCTATGAAATTTTTAGCTCTAAATATTGATTTTGAGTGGACCAACTATGACATCAATTGACATCTTAATAAGCACTGAGATTTTGATTAAGAATTTAGCATGAACTCTTTTTTACATTAAAAGCCACTCCATGAAAACAAGATTGATTACATGTCTCTCTTTATTCATGCTTACTATCACGCACAAAGTAAATGGTAGACTATGTTAAAGGTCTTCATGACAACTATCAATAAATCTGAAAAATCACGAACCACGATCCTTTATTGTACCAATCCCATGTAAATTTCTGGCTAATATTTTCCACCGTCCCTTTTATCTTTAAGATTTTGAAGTAACCTGTCGCGGGTACGTGGCGGATAATCTTCAATATTTACTTTAAAAAGGTAAGCAATCACCAAATAAGTACCAGCTTCAACAAATAAACTCCTGCATATATAGCCTGGCATGAGAAGTATAAGAAGTTTTAAAAGTTTTTAAATCTTACCGTATATAATTATCAGTCCACAGACTAAATCCTGGAGACAATTTTGCAGCTCCCTTGAAAATGACTGGTTGGCTAATTGATGCATATTCTTTGAAGAAATCTTTAGGACTTGGGATAAAATCTATTGACTTTATCTTTCCTTCTGACGGTCGGTGCGAACCTAACGGCTGCAAATGACCGGCAGGAATTCTTTCTTGATGGCCAAAAAGGAAAAATATACTAAAAATTGGAAAACAAAGGAGAATTCTAGACATGACGGTTCAATGCTGGTGCTCTTGACCGGCTAAATTATCAACAAAAAATTTGAAAACAAAGCGAATGTTTCATAATAATTTTGTTTCCCTGAACACGCAACTTCTGCCAGGCGTTCTTTACGATGTTGGTGCGTAAGGCATTGTGGGGATTCCCTTAAGGCATTTCAACATGGTGGACGAGATTGTGAAATAATATTATGTAATAATATTGTGTAGGAGAAGTGAAAAATTCGGAAAATGAAATGGAATACTTACAAATTAACAGCCTAATATAACAAAATTGTCGTGTATTAAATTGACTGCTGGTGAAATTTACGATGGCAGATGAGTTTCCGTCCCTAGATTCATCCCTTGAGGAAGATATTCGTCACGCCAGAAACTTAGGGGAAAACCAAGTGAAAGCTGAAAAACCTGATGTTATAGACTTCCTTCCCGCATCAAGTATTCTCGTTGATGAAGAACAAGAAGCTAATAATTCAAACACTTTAACAAAAATCGAAGAAGAAAAATCGGACCGGGAGCTTACACCGGTACCTGAGGTTCTTCTTGAGTGCGCTGAAAATGGAATGGTTGATCACGTAGAGAGAATATTAGATCAAGACCCATCTCTTATTAACTGTAGGGATAGCGACGGTTACTCGCCGCTTCACAGAGCTTGTTACAATGGACATTTGGACGTGGTTAAAGTTTTCTTGCAAAGAGGAGCTGATGTTCAGGCTAGAACAGAGGATGGATGGCAACCATTGCACTGTGCATGCAGATGGGGTGAATATGAGCTTCATGCATTGCAAGTTGTAACGGAATTATTTTAGGGATCATCCAGTCTCAAATGACTGTCTTTTAGAAAATGCTTGGTTTTAGTTGGTTCATGGGCTGTTCTTTTCTTTATGCTCTTTGATCAAATCTTGAGATTTCTCATTTACTGTATGTAATTTTGTGCAATTTGAGCTGGAGGTGCGCTGGGAAAAATTACACCAATGCATTGTATTACATGTCCTGCAAAGGGCGTTTGTATACCCTCAATCAAAAAATGTATGCATCACTCTTCTAAACTCATGACTTAACTTGTAAGTGTAGAATCCAAAAAGTGTTTGGAATAACCTGTTATAAGTTATTATTCTTTTAGCATTTTGATGGAATTGGTGCTTACTTGATACATGCTTGATCTATTCTTCTCCTCTTGTTCACAGGGAAGACTAAGGTGGCATCTTTACTTTTGCAAAATGGTGCTGATATAAATTCACAAACCAACGGCAAGCAGACACCCCTTCATTTTGCAGCAAGTGGGGTTGGTGGAACCTCAACATTGCAATTGCTGCTGTGCAACAGATGGCTGGATGCCAGCCTCCTAAACATGCAGAATGAAACAGCACTAGATATAGCTAGACGAAGTGGAAATCACTATAAACTGTTTGAAATTGTTGAAGATTGTATCAATGTTAAATAATAATACAATACTTTGATAAGTAAATTAATTATAGTACATTGACTTATGTTCATCAAAGAGTACTTGTAAAAATGGAGGTTTCAGATGCCATATGCTTGCAGCACTGTAATACAATAGAATTCTTTGTCTCTCATGTATGTTTGCAGCACTGTAATACAATAGAGTTCCTTTTTTCTCAAACTCCCAATGAGTCTAACTAAAAGTGGTCTTCTTTCACCAACTAACCAATCTTTGATTTTCCAGACCTTCATATAATTGAAGCCCAGAATTCTTTATCTGATGACCATTTTACAACCAGTATAGCCCCCACCCCTCCCCTGCAAAGAAAATAATTGTGATTCTACTTCAAAGATTATGTTCCCTATTTGACAACTTAATCCTGGCGGCTGAAAAATTTTCAATGCTATTCTTGTTGCGTAAGTCTCATATTCATTACCACCGATCTTCTTTGAAAAACGGATATTATTTTTCTCACGCTGGCGTTACCTACGCTTGGTCTTTTTATGGAGTGCAACAGGAGAATACAGTGCGGCTTAAACAACATCATTTGGGATCAACTTCCGTACCGTGGGCTCACAATGTTTTGTTAGTTTCAACATGGCGACACGTTCACTTATCATCGATCTTTTCAAAAGCCCCAATGGAACATCGTATGGTGTTCTTATCGCTGTCTTCATTGTCGTTTTGACTACAGGTTTCGCTTCTAAGTTATTCATTTGCTGTTATCGATTAGCTTTGTGGATTGATTTTATGTGGAACCTAATGTCGCCTATCAGATCAATGACGTGTGCTTTATGATCAGTTTCCCTTCATTGATCGGTTCGTTGATCTATATCAATATATATATAAAAGGGAAAGCATTAAGCAAGCTGAGTTCACTGAAATTCAGGATAATTTTCTTAATGACAGGCAACCGGCTACTTAGTGTTGCTGAAATCAAACAATAACTTTCGGAGACTGAAAAAGAGAAAAAATCGTGTTTGTGAAAACACAGGTTGATTATTTCAATTTATTTTCCTTGAATTCTATCCCGGAGAAACTAGAGGTAATTCTCATTTTTTTTTCTCTTGCAGTCCTTTACCTTTTGTTTGGTAGGAGTCGATCTAGAGGACGTGGGATCCTGTTCGTTGGACTAACAGATGCTGGCAAAACGCTACTCTTTAGCAGAGTAAGCTAAAAATTTTGAACCCTTCTCTTCTCTGTCATCAAAAAGTTATAACTTTTCAGGTTATTGATAGTCATCGCCTGCTTTCCTGAGCAGGGACTGATGTAAAAAACGCTCAAATTAAGCTGATATTGATATGAAATCGACAGCAATATTTTACATCTATTTAAAGCTGTCAACATTCTGTTTGATTATTAGTAAATCACGTAGCTATAGATAATGGGCACTCCAGTCAAAAATTCCTTTCACTCATGAAACATTCATAGCACCTTTTTAAAACTAGAAAATATTTCATTATGTTGAAGAGGGTATGTTAGAATACAGATAAAATGTATATTAAATAATTAACCTATACCCTTTTTTTCTCAGCTATCTAGTGGAAAACATGTGATGACACACACTTCAATAAAAGAAAACAAAAACCTTTATAAAGTAAAAGGCAGAAAGGTGAGAAGCTTTCCCAGTTAAGTTTACTTGTAAATGTGTCTTTTTAAATTACAGATCCATTCATGCAGGTCTGATAACTGCATATGATAATCTGCCATGATTGTAGCTAGAAAGTCACTTTTGTTTTCATTATAACTAAGTATAAAGTATAGAAGGGATTTTTAAACCAAATAGAAATAAAAGAAATGAGATAATTGTATCTAACAGTAAATACTAGTTAGTAACATGGTCTTATCCTTTGGCTGAAGATTTTTTATGCTGGATAACAGATGCTTGTCAAATGGTTCAACCAGGCTAACAATTTTCCAGTCAAAGCCTAAATTTTTGTGGCAGTTGTTTGATGACCAACTTTTTTACAGCCTTGGTCATTATCACCAACAACACCATTCAAGTTAAAGTAGATTAGCTCATACTTTTTAACTGACATTTTTTTACTTAAATCCAGTGGGAAGGTTTAATAGAGAAAATTAGTGACTGTTTGGGCCAGGATACTTTCTTTAAATTCAGGTATAAATCTTCGACTGAGAAATGGTAAAAGTAAATAATCCTATTGTTTCCAAGTTGATCATTTAAATATGTCTTCGTCAACATGTTTCTTGTTATTTTATACTCAGAGTGGCAAGACACTGGATCTAATAGATTTACCTGGTCATGAGAGAGTGAGGTCAAGATTTGTAGAACAATACAAGAGCCAGACAAGGTAACAAGGACTCAGAAGATATATGTAACATAAGAAAACTAAGCTCAAAATGGACAATGAAATAATTGTCAAACCAAGAATTCTTTTGTTTCCATCCAATTAGAGAACTTTGAGAGCTGTCTTCAGATCCCTTTTTTTTTTTTTTTTTTTTTTTTTTTTTTTGCTATGACATTTCACAAATGGTTAGACATTGTAGTCTTCTTGGATAACAATGTGCATCTTTGCTGTACTGTTTAGCAGGTGACCTTAAAGATCCCACAAACATCTTGTTAAATATGTGAAACATACATGTAACTCCTGGTGTTGTGGTCTGGTATTGTTATTGCTTAGATAGGCCCTCATTTGAACCAGCATTAAAGCTGAACTGGACCTCCCTTTTTACACATCTCAGATAAATAAATAAATAGATATTTGTCCCTAATTGTACTAAGTGGTCCATTTGCCTAGAATATATTTTCAATTGGTTTCTGAAACAGTAAGTAACTAGGAGTGTTAATTAGTTGGTTGCCATTCAATCTAAGGCTACCACCACCCACCCCTCCCCCCTCCCTCCATGTCTCAGCGTATCATTAGGTTTCTTATGATGTTCAGTTGTACCCATTAATACTTATGGTACTTATGGATAAAGAGTTTCTTGCCCAAGAACACACCACAATTTCCTGGCTTGGCTTGGGCTGGAGGCAAGACCTTTCTAATCCTCACTTGACAGGATGATACTTTTATTGTAATCTGACATGCTTTAATTAATCTTGAATTTAATGTAGCAGTGTCGCAAGTTTGAATTAAAAACCTTTACTTTCTCAAATAAACACCAATTAGTACTTACAGTTTTTAATTTGTTTTTATCAGAGGGATCTTGTTTGTTGTTGATAGCGTCAACTTTCCACGAGAAGCAAGAGATGTGGCAGAGTGAGTGTTGCCTATATAATATATTTAATACATGTTAAGAAAGCATTAATTTGTACATTGCCATGAGTAAGAGTAAACATCTTTTCAAAGAAAACCTTGTGTATGCACTATTTCTATTGATATTTAAAAAAAATTCAGCTTAAGAATTGTGTACCTCTTTTTTCTGGATTTAAGTTTGCATCTTAAGAAAAGAAACATTTTTATGAAACTAAATTTTAGCTGGAGGAGACTTCTAAAAACACATGAAGTAAAGGATTTTTCATACTTGCAGTGACCTTATGACTTCAAATTTTGAAACTTCTGCAGTTTCATGTAACTCAAGCCTGAGAAAGGTATCATTTTTGGGGTGTAGAAACTCCAGACAGTCCATTTCTAATACATAGAAAATATCCTCAGCCAATAAGCTGCTAATGCAGCTTATGATGGTCTAAGTATCCATCCACACCTTAAATAACACCATGTTTAAATGCCCCATCATTCAAATAAAAATAGGTAATAACATGATTTGGAGTCCAATTTAGGGTAAATAAGCACAAGTCATGTAAATTTTTCAAAGATAATAAAATTGCAGGAGCCCTTATGGTGCACTCTATTTTTAGTCTGAAAAATTTTATAAGTGCTAATTGCACCAAATTGCAAGAGAAATCATGTTATTACCTGTTAATAATGTATATGAAAAAGCATGGCAGAAAGTCATGACAGATAAAATTTTAAAAGCGTGTGTGGGCTATTTGTAACTTGTACTTGTGTTACAACTTTGCACTCATGTTACAACTTTGCATTTGTGTAACATGAGAATGCACTTGTTTTCAACCAACCAGAAGTGCATAGTTTTTTCATGTACATTATTACATAAGAATATATGTGATAATAAAGAACACTACAATTTGATACAATTTACAGAATACTGGCAGAGTTTCATATTAGGCAGCATTTTTTTTATCATGTCTGTACTGAGTTGTAGCTTAAAATCTTGTCTGACCTTTGTATAGGATAATGTATGACATTCTTGGTGACAAGTATTTATCCAAATCTACTTCCTCTATCCTGGTTGTATGTAACAAACAAGGTGAGCTTGTCAGGGAATCTCCTGAATTAATTCTTTCCAATAAACTGACTGATACAGCAATATTAATTCTGATGGGTTTCTGTAAGTAAACTTATTCAAATATTGCCTACAACTTCTATTTGTAACATCATTTCTTACGTTACATTCCATAAAACCTTTTTGATATAAAATACTTACATAACAAAATTCGTCAAAGATGATTTGGTCCATCAATTTATAGATGGTTACCTTTTCATGTAACTGTCCTTTTACAAAAAAAAAAAAAACATTTCAAGTTTTCTCCCAACATTCCAAATTGGTTATTATGTGACTGGTAAACTGATAGAAAGTGCAGCCAGTTGTTTTCTTTAGATAAACTTAAAGCAAAACTCATTATTTTTTAATTTACTAGTGCAATAAATGATAGGTTTTTGACCAATCATGATGCTTGTAGCATGTAGTTTTGTAGTGACTCATAAATTTCCTTTTCAGACCTTACAATGGCCAAGTCACAGAGTGTAATAAAATCTCAGCTGGAAAAGGAAATGTAAGAAAAATCTTTCACTTTTGATGGTTTGACTCCTTCATTGCATTGGGTGGTAATCTGACCTCATTTCAGTGTTTGCATTTCATTGGTTGCATAATATCTAATATTTTCATAATTTACTCTCTGTGTTGTATAACCTGCTACATTTGATACTTGATTGATTGTCTTAATTTTGGCAACAAAATGTTTTCTGGGGGAAAGGTTGTGAAGCTGTGAGAATTGATCACATCATGGCTGTCATCTTTAAAGGTCCTATGATCTTAGCAAAAAAACAAAGTATTGTTTGAAGAATGAGGTATTGTACTTTCTTGTACATGCACCAGCCTCCTTTAGTTTCCAGAATTCATGAGGTGAGGTTTAAATTTCTCTCAAGAAAGCTATGAGGAGGGAAACGGGATGCTATACGATCACAGTCCCACCCCCCCTCGCCTTTTCCCCCTTTTCACCCTCTTTCCCCCCCCCCCCCTCCACTCTAGTGTTCTCTCAACTTTCTCTCTTAGTTTGCCGGCACAACTGTACTTCTCTCTACTTCTAGTTGGAGTGGGGCTCTGTGAGGGTAAATAATCTGTGGTAGTGGATAAATTGGTAAAGAATTAAAAGCTGTCTTTTTCAATCTGGAGTCCAGGCAACTGCTCCCTCTACATGGATTAAGCTAACGGCTCGACGTTCTTGTTTATTGTTTTATTAGCAACACACTTCGCGTCACGCGTGCCGCTGCCCTACAAGGACAAGATGGCGGCCCAACCAATGACGCTGCGTATGTCGGGAAGAAAGGCAAGGATTTTGAGTTCGGTCATGTGTTACCGCTGACGGTGGAGTTTGCAGAGTGCAGTGCCAAGGGCCAAGTAGAGGGAGAGGCTGATATCACTGCTGTGGAAAAATGGCTAGAAAAGATCGCATGAATTTGATGCTCTGTTTGTGATAAGAAACTGTATTCAAGAATCTTGAAGATGAAATTAAGAAATGTACAGCAAAGTATCGAGAGTAAATCCAGGGCTGCTTTTGTTTTCCTTTTCTACGCTCTGCAATTAGTCTCGAAAACTCCTACCACCTTCCAAGCCAATCAGATGCAAAACTAAAACTACTTGCGAGTTGACCACGCGTTTAAATCTTTTCCCCTCAGTTAAGTGGCCTGCTCGCGATATTTTACAATACTCCGATAAGCCGTTGTGATAACTACAGTTTTGGCTTCGCGACTGGTATTTGCCGTTTGGTTTGTTTAAGTATCTCTTACCTGGATATTCCTGTAAAGTTTAATGCAGTAATATTATCACTCACATATACGGATTAGAGTAGCGGATAAAAAAAATTAAAGTATCTTTAAACTTGACTCAGCTATTTTAAATTGTAAAGGTAGTGTGAGCCCTCGCTACAGAAGTTTAGAAGGCTATGAAATGAATTTATTTTGGTAGTCAAACCCCTGAAATTAATTGGAAAGAGTACTGCTCACTAAATTTCGGCGGATTTAAGATCGCAGCGCACGATGTCGACATTTTCTTTCCTCACCTAATAGCAATGATATTAAGCAAAGCTCAAGTAGGCGCTTAACTCCTCTCCCTCCCTCCCTCCCCTCTTCCTATCACGTACATCTACCTTTGAAGAGTTCAAGTTTTTCCTCAATGTACTGAAGAGAAGCTTCAGAGTCAAGTAAAAAATTGTTTATTCGATTCGCAACCCCCTGAGGAAATTTAAACTACTAAAGAATTGTCCATTAGCTAGGAAAAGGAGACATTTACCGAGCGTTCTACCTTATGTATAGGTCTTGTTTTAGTTATTTAATTCTCGCTCCAGCGGAATTCAGAAAAAATATATATATTCCTAAGAAAAGGGCATTTCAAACTTCGTTTTTACTTAGTCCGTAAAGGTTTGGTAATCATCAGATGAGCAGACTGATTTACACTGTTGTCATAGCAACTCCTGAGCGAGATTTGCATTTAATAGAACTTAAAATTAAGTTTTTAACATAAACAGAGCATTCTGTGAACAATGGTGAGAAGTCTTAATGAAAAAGTCAATGGTTGCGGTATCTACTGTTTATCAAGTTAGCGCTTACGTTTTCCATGTGAACAAGCAATGAACGAAGATGAACCTTCGGTTTTCGAAACATCGGCAAATGATGTAAACCAAACAGAAATTTCAGTTAGCGACGGTATTACGAGCAATCAGTCTAAAGGAACATCAGAGAATTTACCTTCGAGAGAAACAGAAACAAGCGAATCAAACATTAGGGAAAGTGAATCTCGTTTTTCTAAGGAAAACATTGAAGCCAGTGGCGATAATGATACAACGGAAACATCAGAGCTTGAATCAAGAGCGGCGGGAATGTTGTCGCTGAATTCGGACGCTACCGCCGACTCCAGTGGCGTGATTGGCGATGCCGGGAAGATTGGAGATAAAAGTTTACAGCAAGAGCTAGAAGTTGAGGGTGAAATCCACGAAGGAAAGTTAAACGGAACTCAGGCGACCGTAGAGAATCCTTTTCTTCAGTCAGTGAAATATTTAGAAAAGCATCAAATTCTGCGCCTTTTCCAGGTGAGATTTGTACGTGACAGTTTCATGAATATGCATCTCGGCCTTTTGGCTTGACTTTCTTTTCCTCATCTTTTTTTACTGCAATGTCATGTTCCCTATTTCGATTAGACTCCTTTTTTTTTTTTATTTATACTTCGCCGGCGAGCCGAGCTTTCTTCAGGGTCATTCGTCTCTTCTTTCAAATAAAAAACTAATCGTCTGTAAACCAACACATAACAATCCAGCTTTTTATGCATAATGAGTTTACATTTTAAATGACAGCGCTTTTGCATTTGATTGCTTTCCAGTTGGAAATTATCG